ATGTTGGTAGAAGGTGACTTAGGAGCGAATTGGAAGAAATTTAAGAAAAGTTACCTACTTTATTCGACGGCAACCGAACTCACGACGAAGAACAATGAAACTCAAGCCGCCATCTTGCTCCATTGTTTGGGAGAAGAAGCACTAGAAATTTTTGAAACATTAGAACTTAGTGAGGAAGAAGCGAAACAGCCCAATGTAATTCTAGAAAAACTCGAGTTGTATTTTATTCCGAAAAGCAACCAAAGTGTTGAGAGTCACAAGTTCAACACTCGTGTGCAAGGACCGAGCGAAGTCTTTGACGATTTTTTAGCAGACTTACGNAAATACTTCATTCGTAACCGAAGATTTTTAAGGAAGTTCGATGTGAATAGATTTAGAAACATACAGAATCATTCAGGCGAATTGTTGGATCAACCAAGTGAGGAAGAACAGGCCAGTGAACAAGGAGAAAACATGGATAGTGGTAGTGAGGAAAAGGACACAGAGAATGAGCAGTTGGAAAATCAGGAGGTGAGCGGCAATGAGGCTACAGACTTGACAACTCGATCAGGCCGGGTGATCCGTAGGCCATCGCGTTTCAAAGACTTTGTGTAAGAAAGGGAGATGTAATATGTATTGTATTAAAATGTAAAATATTAGTGAGTCCGCCAGGTGGCGATCGTTGTGATGCATCACGGGAACGGCACCTGAGCGCTCACTTTGGTTGGAACCTTTTCACAATAAACATAACAATCATGGCCTGTTCTCTTAACATGATGACTTTCAAAATTCATTATTTATTTAAATCCCCGTAGGCCAATATTCTCCAACAAAAAAAAAAGAAAGAAAAAAAACAACCTAAATGTTTAAAGAAATATCTGGTAAGAAAACAGGCTATGTTTACTGTAATGCTTTAGTAGGAAGCTGATTCAATAATTTTCTCTATTTTCAATAAAAAAATATTGATTTTTTATTACTCTTCTCTTCATTCAAATTAAAAGGTAAGCTAAAATTTTTTCTTACTGGTAAGAATCAGACATTCTTGAGGTGCCATATATCCATCAGTACAACATACACTATTTTGCCAATGAGAAAAATTGTATTACTGGTATAAATTAAAAACTAAATAGCAGTGAGATGTGCCAGTGGTAAACAAGGAAAACTATGGAAAGTTTAGTGTGACACATTGCAATGTCACATGGCACTCTGCATGTTAACAAGAGATTAAAAGAGCCGAATCGACAATAAATAAATGCTAAGCTTGCACTGATCTATCAAGTTATGTTCTGGAACAAGGAGTGAAAGTCAATTTGAAAAATCCCAAGATTATTAAATTAGTACCAGATAGCTATCAATTAGAATTCCTAGAAAAGCTAGAAATTTATAAATTGACACTTAAGGAGATGTTGAAGATATTTGGATGGTCTCCCTTATTCAGAAATCACAGTTTGAAGTGCTGTGATAACATCCATGTAATATCTTAATCTTAAGTTATAAAAATATGAATGCAATTTAAGAATAATATACAGTAGTTATTTCTTTGACAGCATGATTGTAAAAATGGTATGATGTCATTCAAGCCACAACCAATGGTATAAGTATTTAAAAAATGTTAACAAGTGTATTTCAAACTTTGTGTTGGTCTTTAATTTGCAATCATTAATTTGGATGTTATTGTTGTTCTACTTTGCTCAAACATGACCAACAAAATTGGCTGAAAATGTTAGTTTAAATATAGTTGTTGCTAGTTTTAAAGGTTTGTTGTAAATGTATTAATGCAAAATTAATTTGTAAGAATGTTGTACTCTGTCCTTCTTGCCTTTGATAATCAGAACTCTATTGTATCTCAGAAGTTAAGCTTATCTCTTAGCAAATTAACAGTAGGATTTCTTTGATATTTGAAGTAATTATTGGGTTGCATGTATTTATTATAATGAGTTAGAAAATAAATTTTACAGAATTATTATTTAATAAATATAGTATTTATTTCTACTTTAGAGTTAGATTAAGAATACAGTAAAAATATTTTACTATCAATAAATTTTAAGTGTATAATCAAATTTACAAACAACGGTCACTGACGGAAACAAAATAAAAATGGTCGTTGTTCGGAAGTTATTTTGTTCGTATTTCCGGAAAGATTGGCCATTATTGGTGTTAATTTTTGATTATTAATATTCTTATTAGTCACTGTAACTTGATATTGCATTGGATAATAATAATTNTGTTAAACGAGAAAACTAAGAAGAATTTAATTATATTTAATTTTCCATTTAAAACCTCGGAATATGTAGATATTAAAAAATTTATAAAAGATAACCTAGAGCTTAAAAATATAGAAATCGAAGGTCTTAATCAAATTGGAAATAGAAGAAATAATCAAGTGATTAAGGTTATGACCGATTTGGTTAAAGATAGAAATCTAATTCTTAATAAATTTTGGACCACAAGACCGAAAATGACGGACGAAAATAAAAAAATAATAATATCAACGGACTTATGTTATAGATCTAGAATCAGGAGAAAATTATTATTGAAAACGATTAAACTAGAGAAATCGGATGATAAGAAAAAAATTAGAGATGATTATTTTTAAAAAAATAATATAATGATTATTTAATTGGTGGATTGCCCAATAAATGCACTAGGCATGCACTTAGGGCCTTGTTGTCTCAAGGAACTTCAAAAATTACATACCAAGAAGATAATTTTTCTCTAAAGATTTAGTAAATGTTTAAAAAAATGTATATTAAAAAGAAAATACTTGTCATTATTTAAGGTTTTTATTATCTTTTTAGTATTTAAAAAAATTTACATAAAGGCCTCAAAGGAATATAAGCCGCTACTGGTATTAGTGTTTCAAATTTAAAACAGATTTAATATTAATCCATTAAGCTGAATCTGTGACATACTTATAATGTTATTATTTTATATGTTTCCTACTACTGTATTTGTGTCTATCTTTTGTTTTGGATCGTTCATCTGTTTTGTTTTGTGATTTTTGATTTGATTGGTTTGCTTTTGTCTTTGAACTTGTACCTGAATACACTTTCATAATGAAAACACATATGTAAGGAAAAAGCAGAAATGCTCAATGATAAAGAAGAGGTATAAGGAGGGCATTAAATAAAAAATGTGCAACTTTCAGTTGGGTGGTCATTGACAGAAGAAGAATCAAAAGTACCTTTATGACAGAAAAGACATCAGGAAAATGAAACTCCTTATAAAAATTTTTCTATGATAACTAAGAAATCCTGGGTATTAACTTAAAACAAATAGAATAGTGAGCAGTAGGGATAGAAGTCAGAATTTCTAGTACAAATAGCCAATCTCATAAGTTTCTATCTGTGATTGGCGAATTACACTTTTTATATATTTTTTGAAGTGATTTGATTCTTGTAGTATAAACAACACAAATACTGGATATTGTGTAAGTATAAAAATTAACCATAACTCCAGCATAAAATGATAATTTACTAAGAAAAAGCAATGTTTTGATAGCATTAAGCTACATCATCAGGTTAAATATGTAAGTTTGAAAAAAGAACATTGGAAAAATTCAAACATCAAAGCTTGAAAGGAAGAGAGACCATCTGATTAGATGCTGATGCTATTTTATCAGTATATGGAAATGACTGGACTTTCCATAGATATCTCCACCTTGTGCTATTCTTGTAGTTTCTGGTCCTATTTTCATACATGCCTTATCTATCTCCAGCTTCTCAAGGTGTATGAGAGACATGTGCTGTCTGGTTTACTGTAGAAGTCAGGCTCTCTGTGTGCTTGGATCTGATGTTCCATGGTCAGGTTGGCTAATGTAGTTGTCTTTTTTCTTTTATTGAGGTTATATGTTTTTTTAAACATTGTTTGAGCAGATATGTTGTGTTTCCAATGTATTTCATTTGCTGTCCAAGGGTGATGTGAATGACTAGAATGGAGTAAATATTCAGGAGAAGATCCTCTATATGATATTTAGAGTTCTTCAACAAGGAATATATGGAAAGATTCCATTTAAAGGCCACAGAAATGTTATTGGCTCTTGGCTATTAATACCATGATAGTATGGTAAAACCTGTCCAAAACAGAACATGAATGAAAGAAAAACCTGCCTAAACAGAAAGTTCTTCAGACTGAAGTAATTTTCTATGTTAAAAAACTTGTTTAAAATGGAAACCTGCCAAACTGAAAAAATATATTTGGTATCATATGATTCTTGTTTATGCAGGTTTCACTGTATTATCTTCAGTTGTTCTTGGAGTTGGCCTGCCTGGTATGTTTTTATGTGCAACATTTCCAGTTTTTACAAAACATCTTACTGTTTTCATTAATATGTAGCTGGCGATTGATGGCACAAAATATGCATGCCTTTCTTTATATGACCTTGCAGCAGCACATACACTTCTCTGGCTCTCACTATAACAGAATATCCTTTCAACTAATTCATTTTTGCAAACATTGTGTCGGCAATAGATTATGCAAATTAGGCCTAATAAGGAAATTTTCATCATTAATGGGACATGTTTTTTTGTTTGTCATGTTAAAAAAATTTTTTGTGTAGCATTTATTCTTTGGATTGCAGAAGTAAGCTACTTTCCACCACAGTTGATCTATTGTTTCATAATGTGTTCTTGGAGAAATTTAAGTGATAAAATTGATTTGAAGTAGCAATTTCATTATTCTAACTTTGATTGGAAAATTTGATATACTTTTCATAGCAAATAAGACATTTGAATGCCCTTTAAAATGAGTTTCAAGTCAATAAAAATGTCATTAATGGATTTTTCAAACAATTTACTAATGACAAGTGTCACTTTTATAAATATAACATTCACATTTTTAATGATATAGTGTGTTTCCATGTTTATGAATTGTCCTGTATATGATGCAGTAACAATAGTATTTAAAATTTATACTTATAAAATTGAAAATTATTTTTAAAATGTTAGCAGTCAATTTACTAATATTGATAGATAAATTTTAATCAATTAAAGTAATATTTTATTATTTAAATGTTTTTTCAGGGCTCACTGTAGTATGTATCATGCTCTTGGAAGAGGAACATTACTTTTTATGCAAGCTATGTTGACTTTAGAAAATGTAAGCATTAAATTTTCTATAAGCTATTTATAGTTTAAACAAGTAAAACAGCAAAGCCATTCCATTCTTGGGATGAGACTGTCTCGGATAGCATGAGCACATAACCAAATCTTGCACTTGCACCTGTTTGTATAAACAGTCTCAGCATTTTGTATTTTATTTTGACCTGGTTCTTGGTCCCCTGACTACCTACAAGTCTGGTTTGTTTTATGTGCGCATGATTTGGGCACCAAATACTCTATGCCAAATTATAACTCCTGACATGTACTCCTTCATATTGCTAAGGTGTGCAGTTGTTGACAGCAGCACAATTTTAGAGACGAGACATAGTCTCATCAAAAGGCGGAATGTTTCATTTCTTTCAAATGAGTTTATAAAGTAGAAATCGTTTTTATTTCTACTTTTATTATTGTGTTTAAAATAATGAAAATAAACTCTACACCTTTACTCCAATATAATTTATTGAAAACAAACTTTGTCTTTTTAAAAACTATCCTTAGATTTATATTATGTAAATTTCGAATACTTGGTTTTTTTTTGATATTGGAGTAACTGATGAAGGCCGCTAAAATTGGTAGAAAACGTTATTAGAGAATTAAATGTTTTTGCTGGACTGTTAAAAAGGCATTGTTTACTTATATTCTTAGATTTATAAAACTTTTGAAAGATGAAAAGCTATAAACATTAATGTTTTATATTCAATATTTAAATTTGTTGCATTTGAAATAATTTTCAATAGATTAAATGCTGTTGTAAAAAATTACAGTATATTTTTATTGATAAAAAAAGTTTAATCTATCTAATTTTATCTGTTACTTACTTAGGATCTTTTTCAATTGTATTGTTTGATTTCAGTCACAAACAATAATAAACATGAAATTTTTAAATCAGCCAGTTTCTTAAAATTTTATTATAACATTTATTTTGATACATTTTTTCTTTGACATTTTTTTTTTATAACAGGCAGAAATTGAAGTGGCAAGAGAAGCTTTAAAACAAGCTGTGGATGTTTGCAATCGACGCAGAAGAAAGAATTCTATTATTTATGTGACTAAAATGATTAAACGTCCAGATTATAATCAATATACAGAAGGTAAATATAATGTAATTTTTGAACTTCTAATAAGTATAATTAATGCGATAAATAAATTATTACAGGGTAGACGCTTTATATTGTTTACTATTTATCAAAATACTAATATGAATTAAAACAATAATAAGTACTTTTATTCAAAGTATAGTAAACTGTCATTGCAATAAATGCCAGTGTAATGAAATTATCAGTACAACAAATTTATTTTCAATTCCCTACCAATTTACTACAGATCTTAGTGTAAACATTTTTCAGTTTAAAGAATACTACTGTAATATAAATTTCAACTAAATGTAATAAAAGTTTAATTCTATAAAGGAAAATGATCTTTATAATGAAATCTTTAAAAGCATAGATTAATTTTCTTTCAAATTAAAATGGCAGACTGTATATTTCACATATATAAAATATTGAAGAAACTAAGTCATCTTCATTCTTCCATTTTGTCTGGTGATTGGATAAGATGGAAGAATGAAAATGACTTAGTTTCTTTGATATTTTAAATTTGTAATTTTCTTTCATTTGCTAATGGATACTGTTTAACATTTATTTGGATATCAAATTTTATTTATATGCTTGATTTTTTGGAACTCTTTTGGAGGAGGAGCTATGGTTGAAATGTGGTTTGGCAAATATAAGAAATTGTTGAATAAAGGATGTGTAGTTACTTATTTCATAATACACTACATCAGGGATGGCAAAACTATGACATGCATGCCCAAAGTGACATGACAGGAGGAATCATCTGGCATGTAATGTATCATATGATTTTGACTTATCACCTGTCTTTTTTATTCATCCTTTTGGTTTATCATCAGATCATTCTTTTTTCAGTCAGCTTCTTTACATTTATTCTAATTAAAGCATATTCATTTCATTTCTTTTAATGTCATTATTTGAAATCCAAAACTTTGACAAGCTTAAACATTTTTAAATTTAAGTATGCTTATTATATAGCACATGGTCTCAAAAAAATTTGCCACCCCTGCACTACATAGTAGTTATAAAGGATTTAGTTATAATTGTTGATTCAGTTTATAATGTCATTACTGTTTACTTATCCAAAATTGTAATCTTGACTTTACCTAATATTGCAAAGATGAAATTGGCATTACAGTTGTGAAGGCAGTCAAGTTAATGTGAAATCTCTCATTTTCTAATAAAATAAACAAGTTGTGCCAGATAGCACATTGAAATGGTATGATACAGTTTAAGAATTTATGGAGAAAATTTTGAATACATATATAGTGCAATTGAAAATTACAGATTTCTTTCAGAAGTAAACAATGGCTATTTTGGAGATGAGACTTGTAATTATCAATTCTGCCACTATTTCATTGTCAGCTGTTTGTTTAAGATACTGCTGACAATAAACTTTTAATTACAAATATAAACAGCCAGATAGTTGAGATACTAAAGACTAGCCTGCTGCTCTGAGGAAACAGGTTCATGTCTGGGTTGGCTCAAAAGTTTTCAGGGGATTAGTTGAACTGGATATGATGGATCAATCTCACCAGTCAACTATCTCATTGTGGACCTAACTGAATCCATGATGCTTATAATTAAAAGGAGAAAGGGAATGTTGTATTTGATTTTCTCAGTGCACCATGTAGAAATAATCAAAACCAGCATTCTCTCTAAACTGCATACAAGTGTGGCCACATACTGATTTCTCCAAAGTTTTACAAATACTTCTTGTGCACACAGCCAACAACAGGACATTTACATACAAAACATTTATGATGATCCAAATAATTTTTATATAAAAGTAACTGTAGTATTTGTATATTTTAAGAAATATTCACAATTTATTACAGATAACAAAAGTGATGTTATTTCTAAAATATTAAAAGAATATTCAGAATTAAAATTTATAATTTCTGAAAAAGCTAAAACTGGATTATTTAAAATTATCAGTGACAATTTAAATTTTGTACTGACAAATTTAGAGTTTTTTAACATATCCATTTTCTATATTATGGGAACATTTCAAACATCAAGTGCAGACTGAGAGCAAGGATTTAGCACTACAAATTCAATTAACAAAAAAAATTAAAGTAGATTGCAAGTAGATCATTTAGGTGACCATATGAGAATCAAATTGCATTTAGTTAATGATACAGCAATAAATTTAGATGACATCTACAAAGTATGGATTTCTACAAAGAAAAATTTCAAGAAAACTAAATAACTGTAAAGTGTAAATTTATTGTTAACATTGTTTTGTTATGTATGTATGCATGTCCCTGCTTATAATTAAAACAATTTGTAAAAATATTGCACAAATTTAATCTGTGAGAAAATTTTTTGCCCTGGTGCATTTATACACTGTGCAACTATAAATAAATAAAAAATAAAGTTCAAACATAAATTGTCACCTCATTGTGGTTTTTTATAGAATTTTAAAAGTGTAAAATTTGATCTAACTAATGATGCTAGAAATAGAAAATCTATAGTTTTAAAGATTTTTTTTTGTCTGCATTGAGTTTTTTCATTTTTTAATAATTTTTCAACATTCTGGTATTTTGATTTAAATTTAGGTGTAAGGAAATTTCACTGTTAAAAAAAATGTATTTTGGCAATCCCCAAAATTTTATTATACTGACATTTTACTGTATTATTCATCAAAAAATTTTCATATCATAAAACTTAAAATAAAAATAAATTCTGTAGTTCTATTTTATTCAGTTTTTTATGTAATTTTTTTTTTTCAGAGGAAATACATGCAGAATTATGTTATGCTGAAAATTTACTTTTAGTAGCAATTTTGACATTTGTGGAAGATCAAAGTCTAGTCAGTTTTGTAAAAGGAGGTTTAAGGATACGATCTTGTTATCATTCGTATAAGTAAGTAGTAACTTTAATAGACTAAACATTGTGTATGACAAATTATGTGGTGTGCTACCAATTGGGCCACCCAGACCCTGAGCAAGCTTTTGCTTCTAGAAGTATTTGAAATTTGATATTACCTTCCATGGTTACCCATGATGCTGGCTGGAGACAACTCTTATGTCAATGGCCAAAGAACTACTCCATTNCAAAAACTGACACTCAATTTTGCTGAAATGTAGTGTATTCCCAGTTTATCAGTTAAAGGTCACCAGCAAGTCCCAAATGACAAGCCAAGGAGTTCACAAAGATTGTTAATAGTTAAATGGCAATCTTCATGCATTTTTTCATGAATTCTTGCCACATTTATGTCAGTGATCCCAGTTGAAGGGTATCTGGTGTGTTCATTATCATCAATGGATGTTCTGCTATCTTTAAACTGCTTTAATCACTCATAGGTTTGAGTATGACCCAAAGCTTCATCCCAAATGCATGTTTTAACATTTGGTGCATTTCCACTGCTGTCTTTCCCACTTTGAAACAAAATTTATTGCAAATTTTTTTTCTTTCAAGTCACTCACAGTGCAGATCACAAAATATCTAATATGTTTGAATTCAATTTCACAAAACAGACATAATTTTCCACATCAGTGATAACTTGTAGATTAACATAGTTTCTTAGTGATACTGGATGTGACATGTAATGGTGTAGTAGCATACCAAGTTTTGTTGAGGCTGGACAGTATCTTTCTGGAAACTTTTGGCTCACAACTTATAGAACAAAATGTACATATGAACTGAACTAGATACCCTAACAATAAATGGTTATATTTAAACAAATGATTTAGACTTATTTATTGATTTTTTATTAGGTTAAAAGTCCAAAATATTTTAACATTAGGACAGAATAAGTATTACAAAAATTTGAACAGAATATTTGAATTATAAACAGTATGTTTTGATTTTTATCATGTATATTATAATTCATGAATAGTAATCTTTTAGGGGATTATTGATGATTAATATATTTTTGTTTAATTGTTTTATAGAACAAATATAACAAGAATTAATATTATTATATAAACATAAATTATAACATTTTTCAGATGATTTCACAACTGCCATCAAAAATTTTAAAACTTTTGGAATTTATTGGTTTTTCAGGAAATAGAGTAAGATTTGATTTTAGTTTATTACTTTTGTAGAACTAACATAATTGTTGTGTAAAAATATTCAAATTTCAATTATTTTAATAGGCAGTAGGACTTAGAGAAGTAGAAATGGCATATGGACTTCATGAGGGTTTACGATCTCCTCTTTGTGCACTTGTATTAGTTGCTTATCATACAATGGTCACATATATATTAGGTAAGAAGAAACTGATAGTCAGTTCATTAATTATTCATTAAAAATGGCTGATGGTAATCTACATATTAAAAATATATTGAAGTATACAAAAAATTTGTCTTTTTAATCTGACATTACACAACACCAGTGACAAACCAATTTTTTCTTTAATTGAAGATTGTGTTTTGTTAAAAGAGATATTGTTTGCATTAAGTTATATTTTTAATTTTTATTTCTAATATCTATTTATCCATATCTCAAATGCTTCTCTAATTACTGTTTTCCTGATAGAACACCTCTTGGTTTTTAATATCCAAACATTATAAAACATTACAAGGTTGATGTCTGGGTAGGAAAATTTATATTTATGTCCCAATAATGTAATACAATAATTTTAACAAATGATATCTGGAAAAATGTCTCAGGTTATATTCTAAATAGAATTGGTAGCTGTGAAAAGTATACAGAATGTCAACAATGATGATTCTGGTGCTAGAAGAATGACAGCACGATACTAACACAACAGGGAACTTTATAATGTCGTTATTAATATTAGTTATGTAACCTTGTTTTTTTATTGTAATAAAATTTAATGCATTTGTTATAATTGTGTGTCAGTTTTTGACTTTCACAAACCTGACTGTCATTTTCCACTCCCCTTACTCACCTGACTTAGCCTCCTGCATTATTTTTTGTTCCCAAAAATGAAACTCAAGGGCAAAATCTACCACTTNTTTTTTTTTTTCAGAGGAAATACATGCAGAATTATGTTATGCTGAAAATTTACTTTTAGTAGCAATTTTGACATTTGTGGAAGATCAAAGTCTAGTCAGTTTTGTAAAAGGAGGTTTAAGGATACGATCTTGTTATCATTCGTATAAGTAAGTAGTAACTTTAATAGACTAAACATTGTGTATGACAAATTATGTGGTGTGCTACCAATTGGGCCACCCAGACCCTGAGCAAGCTTTTGCTTCTAGAAGTATTTGAAATTTGATATTACCTTCCATGGTTACCCATGATGCTGGCTGGAGACAACTCTTATGTCAATGGCCAAAGAACTACTCCATTAGGGCACTCAGCCAGCTATCGCTTTACCTGACGAGGTATATATATATATATATATAATACAGATTCCGAAGCCTGATAATTACTATTCAAAATTTAAATACTTCTGGAAGCAAAGGCTCACTCGGGGTTCAGGTGGCGCAATTGGTAGTGCACTGCACGGCAAGTGGAGGCTGCAGGTTTAAGCACTGCCCTGGGTCAGTTCTTTTCTTCCAGAATGTTTTAAATTATTTATTAAATTTTTAAAATTATAATTATTAAGTTAGAAAAGAGATGGTGCCTAACATCTATCTCTAATAGCAAATTTATTTATATTAATTATTTGATTATAGTCTCATCATTTAGGTGATAGTTGGTTGATTATAAATGCAAACACTACATGTGCATTATGAGGAAGCAGTTATGGTGACTCATTATAGACAGACATTAGGAAAAACGAAAAAAGTTGTTAGGTTATTCCTTGTTCATAGTTTTTGTAGCAATGGACAGGCACCCCTTTTTCTTGGTACTTCTAGGCAGTTACCTACAATGAATAGTCGTAAAATGACATTGATCTTAATTTCCTTATGTTAAATATAATTAAAAAGTTAGCTCTTTATCTAAATTGTCATATTATCTTAATTATTATTTCTAATGGTTTTCCTTAAAAACACAAAATAATGAAATCATTTATATTTTTTAACAGGGAATGCATGCATATACTTGAGAACAGAAAATGGGAAGATTGCAAACAGAAAAGTCATTTTGAAGGTGGTGTGAGGATGGGTATTGGTGCTTTTAATCTGGTTAGTTTTTAATAAATTTTTTAGTTGTTTAAATATTTGTTTTCAAAAATTTAAAAAAAAATCAATTGTTAAGATAATTGAAATTACTGTATTTTAGAAGTTGTTGAAATTTATTCAAGGAATGAAAATATTTTTTGCATAAACTTCAACAAATTTGCATATTTTATAGAAGTAAACTAGTCTAAATAAAACTTTTAATCATAATATTATTATAAATTAATAAAAAAATTAAAATACTTTAGTGATTTAGTGATTGAAAAATGCATTATTTTCTTGTTTAAAAATAAACAAATTAAATTATTTGATATAAATGTAAAAAGAAAAATTTATTACTCATAAATATCCAGTTTAATTATTTAATTAATTGAAAATGTTTAAGCATTATTAAACACAAAAAATTAATTTAATAATAACTGATAAATAGAGATGGAAAAGATTAAAAGAAAAAAAGTTTTGTGAAACTTGAGAAAAATACAATTATCAATAATATATATAAAAAGAGATATTGTTTGCATTAAGTTATATTTTTAATTTTTATTTCTAATATCTATTTATCCATATCTCAAATGCTTCTCTAATTACTGTTTTCCTGATAGAACACCTCTTGGTTTTTAATATCCAAACATTATAAAACATTACAAGGTTGATGTCTGGGTAGGAAAGTTTATATTTATGTCCCAATAATGTAATACAATAATTTTAACAAATGATATCTGGAAAAATGTCTCAGGTTATATTCTAAATAGAATTGGTAGCTGTGAAAAGTATACAGAATGTCAACAATGATGATTCTGGTGCTAGAAGAATGACAGCACGATACTAACACAACAGGGAACTTTATAATGTCGTTATTAATATTAGTTATGTAACCTTGTTTTTTTATTGTAATAAAATTTAATGCATTTGTTATAATTGTGTGTCAGTTTTTGACTTTCACAAACCTGACTGTCATTTTCCACTCCCCTTACTCACCTGACTTAGCCTCCTGCATTATTTTTTGTTCCCAAAAATGAAACTCAAGGGCAAAATCTACCACTTCAAATGGTGATAGATGAGATTAAGAGGCTAGCACAGGATACACTGAAGGAAATGATAGAAAATGACTTCCTTGGGTTCATCCAAGTATTAGAATCACAATGGAACTGCTTCATCAGTGCAGCAGGATTTCAAGATGTAGTCAGTTAATTTATTGTGTAATTGTAAAATTTTCAATAAATAAATTCTGGGAACTTTTGGTTAATGTCTTGTATATCACATTATGCTTATAATTATGTAAAATGCTTAAAATAAGGTTTCCTGATCATCAAATAATATGGTTGATTCTTTGTATACAATAATATATACAGTGTGCATAGCATGACAAATAATTCACAGAAATAATGAAATTTGAGCAAAAACTGAGAATTTTATCTGAGTTTTTCAGATAAAATCTGAACTGAGAATTTAAAATTTTAAATTCAAAAAACTGAGAATTTTATCTGAGTTTTTCAAATAAAATTCTCAGTTTTTGCTCAAATTTCATTATTTCTGTGAATTATTTGTCATGCTATGCACACTGTATATATTATTGTATACAAAGAATCAACCATATTATTTGATGATCAGGAAACCTTATTTTAAGCATTTTACATAATTATAAGCATAATGTGATATACAAGACATTAACCAAAAGTTCCCAGAATTTATTTATTGAAAATTTTACAATTACACAATAAATTAACTGACTACATCTTGAAATCCTGCTGCACTGATGAAGCAGTTCCATTGTGATTCTAATACTTGGATGAACCCATGGAAGTCATTTTCTATCATTTCCTTCAGTGTATCCTGTGCTAGCCTCTTAATCTCATCTATCACCATTTGAAGTGGTAGATTTTGCCCTTGAGTTTCATTTTTGGGAACAAAAAATAATGCAGGAGGCTAAGTCCGGTGAGTAAGGGGAGTGGAAAATGACAGTCAGGTTTGTGGAAGTCAAAAACTGACACTCAATTTTGCTGAAATGTAGTGTATTCCCAGTTTATCAGTTAAAGGTCACCAGCAAGTCCCAAATGACAAGCCAAGGAGTTCACAAAGATTGTTAATAGTTAAATGGCAATCTTCATGGATTTTTTCATGAATTCTTGCCACATTTATGTCAGTGATCCCAGTTGAAGGGTATCTGGTGTGTTCATTATCATCAATGGATGTTCTGCTATCTTTAAACTGCTTTAATCACTCATAGGTTTGAGTATGACCCAAAGCTTCATCCCAAATGCATGTTTTAACATTTGGTGCATTTCCACTGCTGTCTTTCCCACTTTGAAACAAAATTTATTGCAAATTTTTTTTTCTTTCAAGTCACTCACAGTGCAGATCACAAAATATCTAATAGTTTGAATTCAATTTCACAAAACAGACATAATTTTCCACATCAGTGATAACTTGTAGATTAACATAGTTTCTTAGTGATACTGGATGTGACATGTAATGGTGTAGTAGCATACCAAGTTTTGTTGAGGCTGGACAGTATCTTTCTGGAAACTTTTGGCTCACAACTTATAGAACAAAATGTACATATGAACTGAACTAGATACCCTAACAATAAATGGTTATATTTAAACAAATGATTTAGACTTATTTATTGATTTTTTATTAGGTTAAAAGTCCAAAATATTTTAACATTAGGACAGAATAAGTATTACAAAAATTTGAACAGAATATTTGAATTATAAACAGTATGTTTTGATTTTTATCATGTATATTATAATTCATGAATAGTAATCTTTTAGGGGATTATTGATGATTAATATATTTTTGTTTAATTGTTTTATAGAACAAATATAACAAGAATTAATATTATTATATAAACATAAATTATAACATTTTTCAGATGATTTCACAACTGCCATCAAAAATTTTAAAACTTTTGGAATTTATTGGTTTTTCAGGAAATAGAGTAAGATTTGATTTTAGTTTATTACTTTTGTAGAACTAACATAATTGTTGTGTAAAAATATTCAAATTTCAATTATTTTAATAGGCAGTAGGACTTAGAGAAGTAGAAATGGCATATGGACTTCATGAGGGTTTACGATCTCCTCTTTGTGCACTTGTATTAGTTGCTTATCATACAATGGTCACATATATATTAGGTAAGAAGAAACTGATAGTCAGTTCATTAATTATTCATTAAAAATGGCTGATGGTAATCTACATATTAAAAATATATTGAAGTATACAAAAAATTTGTCTTTTTAATCTGACATTACACAACACCAGTGACAAACCAATTTTTTCTTTAATTGAAGATTGTGTTTTGTTGGTTTGTTGCTGGTGTTTTGTAGTGACAGATTAAGAAGACAAATTTTTTGTATATTTCAATATATTTTTAATCATTAATTGTTATTATTTACATTTATGGAATAATTCTATGAACTTATTTTAAGAAAGCCAAAAAAGCCAAAAAAATTTTCAACAAGTTATATGAGTTATTAGAGACAGGAATACAATGGAGATAAAATTTATAGGATGTCCCAAATCAATGTAAAGGCATTCAGAGCTAAAGCTCAAATTAAATGCATTATGGATGCCATGAATAAAATTTTAATGGAGAGTGAAGATATTAAGGAAAGGTGGTTGGAGTATTTTAAAAAGTTACTGAATAAGGATAATTAACGTATGTGACAGCAAACAATAGGCGTGGATCTGGACAGGAACAGTGGACAGTATCTCTAAATCAGAAGTTAAGTATGCTTTAAGTAAGATGAGGAATAGCAAAATAATAGGATCCATTGGAAACTTCTGGAAGAAATTGTAATTAAATGGTTAACATAACTCTTTAATAAGACTTTTGAGGGAGGAAAAATGCCAGAAAATTGAAGAAGTACCCTAACAATATACAAGAATAAGAGGGTCATTACATTTTGGCATGACTGATATTTCTATAACTTTTCCATTTTAGCAATTTAGCCCTATAATTTGATTGGTTTGATTGACATTTGTGTTTTTGTGTAGTGTATATTGTATTACTTACATGAACCTTTTTTTTTTTTTTTTAAGTTCTCTTTTTTATGCAGAAGTTGGTTAGATTAGCTTGTCATTGATTGGTTTTTTTTGCATGAACAAACATTCTCAGTGTGCATAACATTGCTACAAAAAGTTTTATTTGTGGGCATTCATTGGACCGAGGGAAGTATACAAAGAGAGTAAGAAAATAGTCTTGTACTTGTGTCAGGATGTATTAGGGAAGCATACATTCCTCAGTTGAATTCAATTAGAGAGATTTTGGGACCAGTGGTTTGAAGTTATTTGAAGAGAATTTTTAAGTAAAGTTTTTCCAACCATTTAGTCTAGGAGAATATTTATCTTATTTTACTGTACATTATACTAAACACATACAACTGTGTTGATTTTTGTCATCTCATAAAAACTGCTTTTTTTGAGTTTACATCTTTATTATTCTAGTGTTTTCAGGGACATTTATTGTAAAAACAAAAAAAAAACCATTTTAATTAATAATTAAGATTTGTTTAAATTAAAAACCATACATCAAGAATATCAGCCAGAAAATAAGTGTGTGAAATTTTTTGTTTTTGAATAATTTGTGTTAAATTGAACTAAATTAATTATTGATTTTTAAATAATTTGTAAATACATTTTAAGTATGCAATAATATCAATAATTGCATATTTGCACTTCTATGCATTTGGAGCTAGAACTAATTTAAGATGACTAAGACAAAACCTTTCTCACTTGTTTCTAGCCGTTTATATACGAGTATGAACATTTTCAGTGCCTTCTTAATAGGCCTTCTTCAGGTACACTATGCAAAAAACTAACATACATTGGCTCAACCAATAGATCGCTTAAAAGAAGGATAGCTGAACACAAATACGACGCATACAACAAAAAGTTCACTTCCATCCTAGCCCAGTTTGCAAGCAAACCTAGTATAACGACCAAATGGGAAGAGGCGAAGATTATTATTCCTATGCATGACAATAGCAAGCTTAGAACAGTTGAAACCATTGAAATATTTGCACAATCCCTCAAAGAGAGTTGTATCAACAGCAGAGATGCAGACACACTCTCCTTCGCATGGAAATCATTCTTCGATAACCCCTTAAACTAAATAGACCAACCCACCCTCATCTCTTGCAACCGTTAGCGCCTTTTTTACTTGTTGCGTTTACTTGCAATTCTGCTTTCCAAGCGTAGCACCTTTCCCATCTATGGTCGTTCACATGCCTTTTCTTATTATATCATATGTTATTTAACAACGTCGACGTCGTCTATGCTCCGTTATCAACTATGACGCCACTCCCCATTAATCCCCTATCGTGATAGGCAAGGATGTCAGTCTCTAGTGCATCTTCTTTACTTAGTGCATTTATTTTCCAATTTTATTTCCCAACTTTAGCAATTATCTCGTCATGAACTATCTGCACACCTTTCATTTTTACTCAAAGAAAAAATTTAATGCCCTCAGTATTGTCTAAACCTTATCATCAATGATGACATCACTGGTAAGATGATACCTATGTAAACATTGACACCATTTGAATTTCTACCAACTGACGCTCTAACAGACCACAGTATACCTGAAGAAGGCCTATTAAGAAGGCTGAAAACATTCGTACTCGTGTATAAACAGCTAGAAACAAGTGAGAAAGGTTTTGTCTTGGTCAATTGCATATTTGAAATACCAATATTGTGCATTATGGATTTTTTTCCCCCAACTTAAAATTATACTTAAAAATGTTTTTGAGTACAATTTTAAAATACACATTTCAAAAATTTATATTGTTAAATCTTATATATTTTGTTTTATTTTTGTTATAAATAGGTTCTGCAGATGGGGATATTGATCAGTCAGAAAAAATATTAAATGAAATGTTAAAAATTCATCCAAAGGTATTTTTTAATCTTTATATGTTAAAAGTTTATTTGAATTACAATAATAAATGAACTAGAGATGGAAAACATTCATTAGTGATATTTAATTTCTTATAAATCTTATCTTTTGAATCTTAACTGTTTCAATTATTTTAATAGTAATATAAATATTGTTTTCTTGCTGTCGTTAGCTGAATTCTACTTTGAATTATTTTTTACTTCTTAATGATCATTATAAATGTTGAATGGGTTTAAAACTAGTCATATCCCTAATAAACTAACTATTATTGAAATTTGTCCATTAGAAAATTTTATGCATACTTCTGAGCTGTAGAAGCTTACTATCATCTTAGGAATCAAGATAATAGATTTTCTTCCATAAATATGTGACATTATTTTCTCATTTTAGATTATCATAGGTTTTCTGTAATAATTTGCCTACATTTTTCCTATTTAATTTCGATTTTTATATATTACTTATAAAAAATGGTCACTATTGTTTCTTCTTTTAAAAACACATTAATTACACTTTAAAAACCTTAAAATTATTCAGTTTGTGTAGAAGTTAAAAAGAAAAAACATTGTTCTCTGTCCAAGAAAGATTCACTAAATTCAATAAATTTATTTTTGGTGTATTGGGACAAAAGTTATTTCCAGTTGTACATAAAATTATATCTGCATAATTGTTGCAGTTAGGTTTTTATGCTGTGAAAGTATATGTTCTTCTTCTTTAAGGAAGACACGTGGAACCAAAGTACAAAGAAGGAAAACTTTAATTAAGGCTAGAATCTTGACTACAGGCTGTTTAGGATGCCAGTGCAAATTTCATGTCCTGACAGTCGGAAACAATCAGATTCACAAACAATGTTACACAAACAAAAGTCCCGAATTATAGTATGCAACATAAAGAATCATTAATAAAAATCATCTCACACTAATCTAAAACTATCTTAAACACTAATAACAAATAAGACTTAGAACTAATATTAAACTAAGGTAAGACAATAGGGGACAGGTAAAGGAAAGTTAGAAATCAGAAAGGGGTACCCAATGCTAGTCTGTGAGGCCTTCGAAGATCGTTTTTCTTCGTAATGTCCTTAGTGAGGGTCTTATGAAAAGTGGGAAGGATCTCCCTTTTTTCTTAGAGTCACATGACTATCGGCAGTTATGATGCAAAGATTCGCTCTCAATTCCCTTGAGTTTATCACGGATATTTCTTTATCCATCTCTGAGACTCTCTCTTTGTCTCATGTGCGCTGCCAAAACGCACCTGAAGCTCCACTCACTTCCTTCCTCACTCGAGTCTGAATTACTTCTCCCCCCTACCTCACTCTTCATGCCCTCCGGGGTTGTGCACCCTTCCCTTTGTTTTAGGGTGTTTTTGATAGCCAATAAGGAAAGGAATTTCAGGGAGAGACTCTCCTTAGAGGGTAGACAATAGAACAAAGAAAAGGAAAAAGGGGAAAGAAAAGAATGTTGAAAGAAAAATAAAACTAATTAAAATAAAATATAAACTATATACAGATACATGGCATACAGCCACAATGCTTATTTTTAATCCTATATTTCAATCTTTAACTATCTGGCAATGTATCATTTGATATTAAACAATTTTGTCATTTATTTTTTGATAATTTTCTTGTTATATTTACATTGTTATAATAATTTTTACATTTATTTGTATATAATGATTAAACTTTGACTTTCTTCATATAAGATTTATTTACTCTTAATATTTCTTTACATTTATTTGTTACCTGAATCCCCTGAGTTCTATTTGAATGTCAGAATTGTATCATAATTTGCAGAAATATAATTTTCATTTTTGTGTTGATGTTGAATTAATTCATATTACATCATTAGTTTCAGTTATAATTTCTGAAAAACTTTGAAGTTTTTCTCTAGGCCTGCAACATCATTTTTTTTTATGAATTTGTTCAAGTCATTTTTTAAAAGTGTTTTTATTGACTTTATCATTTCTACTGTACATGAAATTTTGTGTATAATCATAAATATGATTTGCAAGTATAATTTATATTTTTGTATTTTTTAATTAATTGTTTTATCTTTTTATTTTTATTTCATATTCTTAAATATATCTTGATTTTGATGAGTTCACATCTTTTATTGGTTACTTTAGAAACTGTTTTTTACATTTAATACTTGTAGTTACGTTTTCAAATAATAATAAAGAAAATAAAATTGAGACAATTATTTCTTATATAATGTTCAAATACTTTTAAATTCTCATAAATATGTCTTTAAATAAATAAATTTAAACCATATATTACTAATCTTCTAAATATAGTAAAGCTGCAACTTCTGCTAGAAAAGCCATTCCTCATATTATGAAAGCTTTAAGCAAAAAAAAAATTAAATAAAATTGAGATACATACAGAGGTTATCTATGACATTTCCTGTAAATAACATTTTTAGTTATTTTAACTTTAACAAATGAATCACTACTTATTAGAGATAATTTCACAGCCTTTAAAATCATGTGTATTTGTGTTGCTTAATTTCGCATATATATAATCTCATGATGAAAAAATCTAAGATATATTTCATGTATCACCTACTATCAGTGACTAATTTAGACCTTCGCAGGCCCTAGGCAAAATAATATTTACGGACCCCTTTACAAATTTTGTATTACTACAAATATAAATAAAATTGTAATATTTAAAATTAAAGTATTTTTATTTTTACATTTGAATATCTTACATTGTATTTTTGGGGCTACAATAAAATTATGCAGCAATAAACATTATATTTTTCTCAACAAACACTGCTTTATTCTGAACTTCACTGAACAGATCTAATGTGCATATACAAACATTATCTAATTCTCAGTGATGTTAGATGTCTTAGCAGTAGGTAATGTTATTCTTAATTATTAACCCTTGAATATGGCACTAATAATATAGTAATTTGCAATTCTAATAAAACAATGGTATGTGTAGAACCTATTATGGGCCCCAATTAATTATGGGCCCTGGGCAAGTGCCTTGTGCCAAATTAGGCCCTGCCTACTATATAATTTATGCATACTTTTATATTTGAGAAATTTTTTCATTCTTTTAAGTTCATTTAATTAACAGCGTGAGAATGTATTAATTGATTTCTGTTGTTTAGACTAGTTATATGCACAATATTTTCTTTATAGATAATGTAAACAGATACTTTAATGTGGTCATCAGGGTTTATTTATATGAACAGATAAATTGTGTAAAGTGAATTTGACAATTAGATAATAGAGATTTTGGGATGTACAGTACATCTCTGTTTTTTAAATTTTGAAATGAAAGTAATTGTTAGAAATAATGAACTTAAATTATTAGGTTATATTTCTTTCTGGATAATTAATTTTAAAAATTTATATCAAAGATAAATATCCTTACAATTATTTTTAGGCTGCCCTTTTTATATTTTTTTATGGACGTGTTAAACAACTTCGAGGAAATATTGATGAAGTACGTAAGTAAAAAATGTTTAAAATTATTTGCAGGTAAATATATTAATATTTAATGTTATAAACAATCTAATTTTAATAGGCTATTGAAACTTTTAAAGAATCAATTAGTGTTCAACAAGAATGGAAACAATTCCATTATTTATGTTATTGGGAGTTATTGTGGTGCAATTGGTAAGTTTTTTATTTTTGATTAAAACATTTTGGACATTTAAATGAAATTTTAAAATGTAAAAGTTGAAAATTATAATAATAATTTGAAGTATTAAAAAAATATCAAATCAGTACATGATGTTAGATACTCAATAAGCAATGAATGTGTAGTAATTTTTAACACACTATATTTCTTCACAATAATAAAGAATAATCAACTTGGGTTATAACCTGATAATAAATACCAAAGGTAAATGAAAACATTAATTCATTTTATAAAATGTATTTCTGGGAGATAAGTTGATTTAAATAAAAATGTTAGTGTTTAAATAAACATATTATTATAATTTGCTATAGCTATGCAGCTTTTCCATGTATTATAAAATGCAGTTAATTAAGACATAAATAAAAACTATTGATCGTTATGAATTAATTCAACAAGTAGTAGAATCACACTACTATTAAATTAAGAAATAATAATATTATAACATCATTATTAACTTGAGGACAGAGTACTTTCATTCTGTAAAAAATTTAAAAATAAAATCAGATCTTAGATGAACTTTTGAATGTAATTTTATCCAATAGTTGCACAACTATTTGTGAATAAAGATAAAAATTTTCAATAAAACTACTAGAATTAAAATGATTTTTTAAATTTGTTCTAAAATAGCATAATGTAAAAAATTCAACCAGAGCTCATACAAATTATATAGTTGTCTAATATGTTTAATGAAGTTTGAATTAAGTGAAAACAAATGAAACATTTAATTATCGTTAAAAAGTTTTTTTATTAATGTAATATTTACTTTAATTTTGATGATGAGCCACTATACTTCAAAATAAACTAATTTAATAAGAAAGTACATATACTTTTAAAAAATAGTGAAGCACTTTAATTTGCAAAGAACAAAAATAAAAATGAACTGCAGTCAACTTGCATTAATATGAATCACTAGAGAAACAGTAGTAAGTTCACTTTATAGAAAATTCATATTAACGATTTTCAGGATCAAGGTGAAGGTTATATAATTTACAGAGTTAAGGATTAATAGGCAATCAAAATCACTAAATTATAATATTTTGAACTAATTTACTAAATAAAGTTAAATAAAATTAAGTTTATCTACAAAAATAAATTAATGATCTAAACGATTTTCAAATCAAACTAAATGAGATGGTATTTGCCATTTACATGTGGAGCATATATCAGAATGGTTAAACAGAACAAAGCTAAAAGAAATCTGTGATTTTTTTTTTCTGTTGAACATTATTTGAAAAAGTAAAATATATTTTGGTGCCAAAATAGTAAAAAAAGCAGCCAAACCTCCTGATATGCAAACTAGCATGTGTTTGCATGAGACTGCACCCATTTAAAGGGGTGGATGTCCTTGAACTTTAACTGCTATTTTCTGAGTATAGTAGAATGGTTCGCTAAAATCAGATATATGAATTGCTCTACAATTAGAAGTTGAACTCTTCTTTGCTCTTATTAGGAGGAAAAAATTTATTATTCTGCTCAAAATAGAACTTTTATTACAGTACCACTTTGCTTTTTACACTTTTCTACGTGAATAATAAAATCATTGGAAATAGGATTATTTCTTGGAGATTGTGAAGGTAATTTACAGTTTGATTTAATGAATTCTGGTAAAATTTTTGTTCACTTTATCGCAGGAAAATTAACATTGTGACAATAGCATTTTGCCAGGGCAACTGCAAAATTTGTTGTATCTGTGTTCATTTTAAGGTGAGTCAATTGTCCTTGATTATGTCATTTCTTTCATTTAATAACTGATTGTTTAGTGCACATGAAAACTGTTTCTAAAATAACAAAATACAGTTATGATCCTTGACACAAAGAACTTGTTCCATTTCTTAAGGTTTCTTGTTTAGTACATTCATGTACTCTTTTTCACTGTTGGAAATTCATATTTGTTTCTCATCATACAATTTTATATAGCACTAACAACCTGTAACAATAGTTAATATATTTCATGGTAGAAATATAGAATTTATATTTCTGTAAAAGTTGTTTTAGGCATTCTAACAGGTCATATTATACACAATTAACCGAAAATGTTGATGCAATTGACTTGTTAGCAATGCCTGATGTAGGTTAATTTTTATGATATTTTTTTGGTTGATCTCATGTTTAAAATTTGGGACACATTTCAATTATTATAATTATATTAAATTATTAATAGTTATGTATTATTGTTGAAATTTAATATCTTAAAATAACACTTTTTAATTATAAAATATATTAAAATAACAATTTTAATATATTTTTAATTAGTTTTAAATGCGATTGGGAAGAAGCAGTTAAATGCACTCAGATATTAAGAATGCAATGCCGTTGGTCACCTGCAATTTATACGTATGTTGATGCATCTGTAAAATATATGATCATGATGGCTGGAAATGAGGATCTCAGGGATGAAATTGTGATGCTAATGGAGTAAATATATTACTGTATTTCTTAATTTAATTGTGTAATTTATAAAATTGATTATTTTAAAGATTCTACAGTATATTCATAAAGTTTTTATNATTTGATAAATTCGTAAAAATGTTAAGATTAAATTAAAGTAGTTTATCTTTGTTATGTATGTAGCACACAGTGATAGAGGGAGTGAAAGAAAGCAAATATGTAATCCCTGTGTGCTAGGTTAAGAAGACATGTTTTGTACTAGACGGCGCTAGTTGGCTGGTGTCGCATGCTTTGGTCAAAGGTCATCTTCTTTGTTCTAGTTTGCTATGTCCCTGTGTAGCACGTGTCTCCCCTCTCTTTGTGCATGTAGTCGTGTTACATATAACTGTGTATTTCCGTACATCGTAAGATATACGTTTACTTGCTTCATCTTCTGACACTATTTATTTATTTTTCTTCTAAACAATTTGTTATATACACACATATCTGCAAACTATGTAACAAATTGGTGCACAAACATTTTAATGAAAGATTATCACTGATCAAAGAGGACCCACATCCTGGATAACTTCAATGTTAACATACAATCAACACAGCTGGAAAGTTGTGAGATGAGTATTGTCTCATGATTTGAATTCTTAAGATCCTTTTAAGAATTCTCTATGAGAATTCTTTTAGATCTTTTTGATATTTATCTTTCTTTAAAATGTTTTTAACACTTATATGTTTAAGTTCAACTCATGCATTCACTACCAAGCACTTGCATTAACATTTCAAACATATCTGTATTAAATTAGAGAAAACTTTACAAAAGAATTCTCATAGAGAATTCTTAAAAGGATCTATGTATTAAATACTGAAGAATGACTTGTTAGGTCCAAAATGCATATTATTTAATAAATAAATAGAATTGATCTACAAATTACATGCCCCAAGGTCATTCTGCTTCCTGTTTAATCCAGATCGATAAATCAGTCTTTGAGAAAATTGCTCTCGCACAAAACATATTAAAGAAGATGACAGATAAAAAGTAAACAGATTAATATATAAGATTTGTCTGAGAAGTTTCCAAAATTTTAAAATAGTGTACCAGAGTGAAGGCATAGGGATGTCGATCATACCACTGACTTTGCAAGTAACCAGCTAATTTCTGCTGATTTGTTTACTCTGTATGCTGTGTAGAGTGAAGATGTGTATAGTTGCTCTGGCAATTCTCTGCTTTTGCAAAATTTCCCATTTTACAAGTAATGTGTGTACTTGTAAATTTTTTGTAAAGTTTTCTCTAATTTAATACAGATATGTTTGAAATGTTAATGCAAGTGCTTGGTAGTGAATGCATGAGCTGAACTTAAACATATAAGTGTTAAAAACATTTTAAAGAAAGATAAATATCAATCAAAGATAACCCATGCTCTGAGCAATCACTATTATCAAAACATCTAGCTTATTGTATCTAGAAAGTTATCAATAAGGAGTACTATCTGGAGATGATGAAGCATCTATGAGAAGTAGTGGGACCAAAAAAATTGAAATTTCGTGGAGAGAGAAAAACATGATTGCTCTACTCTATTACACAATAAAACACAAGCATGTTGTTGGTTTGTGAATTTCATGCAAATCATGAGACAATACTTATCTCACAACTTTCCAGCAGTGTTGATTGTATGTTAACATTGAAGTTATCCAGGGTGTGGGTCCTCTTTGAACAGTGATAATCTTTCATTAAAATGTTTGTGCACTTGTATGAGTATATTTGAGTTCAACTCATTCATGCATTATCAAATGCTTATATTAACATCTCAAATGTCTTTGAAAAAATTTCTCTAATTTAAATTCTCATGAAAATCTGAAATTTTGCAACTGCACAGAATTGCTGGACTCATCACATACATCTTTACTCTAGCTTACTCAGAACAGAGACTAGAGAATAGAGCAGAAAGCAGCGAGGTCAGTGGTAGAACATCTATTAGCAATATGCTAAACAATTGCCAGATTAAATCAGACTATTATTTTTAATTAAATTCTAAATAATGAATTTAACTATAATTACTAAATTTAATAAGAGATGGCATCTATGCCTACTTCTAGTACCAAATTACTGTATTTAGAATTTAGTTAAAAATAATGGTGGTAAAGTAGCCCATTTAATCTGCAGTCATTAGGCATATTAATAAAATGTCAGGTTTCAAGATGTTTATATATGTATCCATTAGCAATCCCTGTGCCTTCACACTGGTATACTATTTTGAAAGTTTGGAAAACTTTATGGACAAACCTTGTATGTATAAAAATGTGTAAATTATATAACCACAAAAAATATGTAGTTTTCACTTTATTTTTTATTCTAATGTAAATTTTTATTTATAGGTATTTAAATTAATAAAATTTTCTGTGTGATCCTAAAATATTTTAATAATACTCATAATTAATATTTAAAAATTTAAAGTAGCAATGATTTGTTTACAATAGATTTTAAACTAATTTTAAAGTTTTTCTTCAAATCTGAATAGGTTACTTATTTCACAATAGTTTTGTTACTGATATTTGATAGAACATTTAAATTTATGCCTATCAGTAATGAATAGTTCTATTGTTGTTTATAAGATATTTTTGATTTTGATTGTTAAATTTTGTTTTTATTATTATTATTATCAAAGACAATAAATATAATAATTTTAATATGTCTAAAACATTTTTTTTTGCAATTTAGAAAAGTGCCAAGTTTGAAACAAAGACTTGCTGGAAAATCAATTCCACTAGAAAAATATGTTGTAATGAAATCACAAAAATTTTTCAGTCAAGATTGCAAATTATTACTACCTGCTTTGGTAAATAAATATTATTTTCATCATCTCAACTTTCAAATTATTTTTTTTTTAAAGAATTTAAAAGTTGTGCATATTTATTATTATTGAGTAAAACATATTTATGAAACTAATTTACTGTTTGACAATAAATAACAGGGACAAACATATGTTAATAAAATTTTACTGTAATAATTTTAGTAATTTATCATTAGGTTAAAGTTTACCTAGGGAACCACAATGGTGGCGCTTCGGTTAGGTTAGGTTAGATTAACTATATTTTTAGTAGATGTTTCCTTTTTTTTTATATTTTGTTCAAGAACTATCGTGAATCAATAACTAGTGACATTTGGCACTCGGTGGCTCCCCTCCGGGAGGAGTCCATTGGGACCATGAACAGTCAGAAGCACGGTCATTGGGGTTCCCTATGTAAACTTTGACCTATCATTGTAGTACTATTTTCTTATGTTTTCTCCTCTTATCATAAAATCAAAAATTTATTATTTTTATGCACTAAATAATTACATATTTCAATAAATTGTGGCTATGCAGTGAGTATGGTAATCATATATTTTTCACAGTGAACTCCTGTATAACACTCCCTTATAATGCAAATTTGTATGACATGACAAGTTTAAACTTGCAAAAAATTGTCTGATAATGCATGTTTCATATAATGCTATTTCCTATAACATGGAACATATTCCACATTGTACAGGAGTTTGCTATACGTGGTTTTGAGACAGTTTTTCACTTATTTGCTTTTGAAACATTTAGTGCAATTGCATTCTCTCAAATAAACATTGTCTTTTTCAATTAATGCGTGAATTTCATTGTCATTTATATAAAAATTATTCAAAAGAAACTTTGCAAACCATTTATGACAACTTTTTTGTGACATATATTTTCTTTTAGTAAACTTTGCAAATGATGTTTTTGCCACAACATTTTTTTGTTTTGCCTAGTGATCACATTATTTCCTTTCTGAAATTTGTGTAATTTTGTGTCTCAAGTACTCTTAATTTTTATTAAACTCATTTCACTACATATCATTTGATTATCAATATGATTTGGGCTTAGTTTTCTACATAAAGTTATAATCATTTGCTGAAAGTAAAATAACTTTTCTGGTGAAAAATGTGGATGAAGATTATTATTTTCCATAAACATGTAAAAATATTTATTAATTTAATCATAGCATTTTTTTCCTCAGTTTCAATTAAAATACTACTATGATTTTTTTCATGCAAAATGCATACATAACATCTTATTTTGTTGTTAATATTAGTACAATGGACTTTTAATGCACATGTCTGTTTTTGTTAGTTTTCTTTACTTTGGCTTCTTACTGCATCTTAAATATTTTATTTTGATGTTCCTTAATATTTTATCCATATTTACAAGAATCACAAAATCTTAAAAAATATTAACTGATTTATCATTGAATTTATAAAAAAAAAACAAAGTATATTCTATTTAATGTCTACCTTATATTTGTTGTCATAAAAAATTTGGCAGACATCACATTATACCTGCTAAAAGTAGCGAACTTGTCTTGTATAATATCAGCTTTGTCCATACAGGATATACATCTAATGTCTGTATTCATTAGTCTTAAATATCTAGATTTAAGTCAAACACAAGTATTTTAAGTTTTATTTGCCATCTACAGTCAGTTGCAATAGAGATGTGTATGTGCATATAGATTGTAATATAGTAAATTAACCAAATGATACTGCTAAAATTAAATTTTACACACACATTTGTATGTCTTTTTAACTTTTTTACAACTATTTTATAATTATTTAAAGCACATTTAATTTAAATACTACAAAAATGTTTTAAAATATAAACAGTATAAATAAACACTATTAATAATAAAATTTACACATTTAGTTTCTGAATTTAAAATATATTTATTTGTGAAAATATTTTAATTTTTTCAGGAATTGGTATATATATGGAATAGTTTTCCAATAATAGCAAATGCACCTCATCTAGCTGAAAATATGTTAACTGTTATTGACAAATTTATGCCTGAATTGCCTAATGATGGTAATTATGAATTAATATTTATGTAATATATTAAAATAATGAATTTTTCTAGAACAGATGAGGAATTATAGCCTTTTGTGGCTTTTCATACAGTCTGATAAAATATGAAATAGTATAAATTTATTTTGTCATGAATGCTGAGTTATGAAGATACTTCTTTTTTTCCAATAAAGACAGATTTCTAAATATATAATATATGTATATTTTTATTATGCATATATGCCAAATGTGTACACTTATGTGTTCTAATAAGATCCGTCTGAAATGGAATGAGGCTTTATGATTAAAGATTTCCTATCTCTGTTCTAGAATTATTAACAATATGCTTAGAATAATAATTGTCTTTCTAATGTTTTAATAAAGTTTGCACTTATCTAGTGTATCAGATACTATTATTGTTCCATAAAAAGTTGTATATTGTTTTTTTAAAGAAATATGGAATTACACAGAACACTTACAAAATCAAAAATCCAGCTCATGAAACACAATGATGGAGAAAAATGAATATTTTCAATTGCTTTTAGCAATCATCCTCAAGTTAAAGAACTTATTTGGAAATGTATATCAGAATAGAATGTATGATAAAATGTAATAATTGACAAGACTATGTCTACAAAATCGTACTGCCCGATGTTCTTATCAGCATAGATGTATGAAGGAGTACATGTCGAGCGTTGATATTTGGCACAGAGTATTAGGTGCCCAAATCATTTGCGCATAAAAAAATTCAGACTCGTAGGTAGTCAGGGGACCGAGAATCGAGTCAGAATAAAATACAAAATGGCAACCCTCTTCCACAAACAGGCAAAACAGCCACCTCACCCCACCAAAGTCAGGTAGGGGAGAGTACCACCCGCAGTCATTCTAAGAAGTGAACTCTGACCTTAGGACTGAACACGTAGTTTCTTCTATGTTAAATAAAATTTGTAATCTAATTTTGTAAATTTTGGAGTGCTTCAAATATGATGTTAAAACGGTTTTACGTCATTAGAAGTGGGTTTTTTTAACATCTAGTATAGTAAAATCGTAGGACCGATAAAAATTTGATGTTATATTAGGGTTGTCGTTACATTCAATGACATTATAATCGGGTTAAACTGTATATTGTTTGTGCAAAATAAAAAAATAATTTCGAACAATACAATAGCCACGATTATTTTTCCAAAAACGGGAACTTTTTGTTAAGCATCTACAAAAATTCAACCTGTGCCGACATGCAACAGAGAGAAATTTTGAAATTAGATAGATTAATTTCATCGAAGATGCATCGTGGACAATCTCGTGGTCATGGCCGTTGAAGTTTGAATGATCGCACCCAAAAGCAGCGATATCAAAGAAGATAGGAGAATGAGAACGAGACCTGCCTTGAGCATCAAAGTGATTCTGTCTCCGAGACATAGTCTTGTCCCAAATATGGTTTTGTCGTTTTACTTGTTTAAAATATAAAACAAATGTCTGATTGGCCATCAGACATTTTTGGATTTTTGGTTGTGTAAGTGTTTTATATATTATTTAGTATTTAGTGCAATTATTACATGGAAGTAACACAATTACAAAAATTTTATGAATACTAGCTTATCCGTCGCGCATTGCTGCGATCTCAGAAGAAAGGAAATTCAAGCAAACTCGTTACGATAAAATTCAATTTACATTTTATTATTTTTATTGAAACTTACTATTATTATTCATTTTCATGGGGAAAACATTTCAAAGTGTCGTTTCACTTCTATTTATTTATTGGAGTGTTTGTGGATACACAATATTTTTTGTTTTTCCGTCTGATGCGTACACGAATAAATCGGAAGGTTTTTCGACGCGTGAGCCGGCCACATACAGTTGTCCATGTGAGAAGCATGGATTCTCCAAATTTAGCCTACACACTCGCTGCAATTGTCAGAAGTGCGATATTCCCCATTTTTATATATATTTTTAAATCCTTTATAATTTATTGGAGTGTTTGTGGATACACAATATTTTTTGTTTTTCCGTCTGATGCGTACACGAATAAATCGGAAGGTTTTTCGACGCGTGAGCCAGCCACATACAGTTGTCCATGTGAGAAGCATGGATTCTCCAAATTTAGCCTACACACTCGCTGCAATTGTCAGAAGTGCGATATTCCCCATTTTTATATATATTTTTAAATCCTTTATAATTTTAATTATTTAATTGCTCCTTCCTCTCTTCCTTGGCATGTTGTGAAATTTCTGATAGTTGGATAATAAACCGTTTTATTGTAATTTGTCTTTTTAAATTATTAGATGATATTAAAATTTGGAAAAGGGGATCCCTAGATCGGTAAAATAGGCGAATTTCCTTCTACAACTTCGGTTGTTGTTCGGTATACAGTTAAAGTTTTAACAAAGTTCGAGCGAATACGTAATTAGCAAAAAAAAGTTGAAATAAAGTGATTAAACAAACATTATTACAAATATCGTAAATAACAGTTCACAAATGCATATATAGAAATATTTTTTGAAGGGGGAAATGGTCTTCACAATTTGAAATTGATCGAACACACTGTGCTCGAATGCTCATGTAAACGCGCGCCATCTATCATAGGATAAATGCACTTCACGGGAGTGTATTAAAAAACTTTCTGAAGTTTTATGGCAATCGTACTATGCCACAAACCTTCGCCGGAGTATATTAAACAACTTCCCAAAGTTTCACGGCAATCGGATAAACGGTGTGGTAATGCATGAAAGACAGACAGACAGACACACACACACACACACACACACACACACACACACATTCATTTTTATATATATAGATTACAAATGTAAACAAATAAGAAAAAAGTAAATGCCATAAAAAATAAAGAATACACCTCTTACAAATAAAATAATAATATCATGTAAGAATCTCATATCATTTTGACAAAATTTAAATTATAGTTTATATAAGATATAACACAATTTCATCTCATTTCCATATTCATTAAAGAATTTTTTTAATGATATTTATTATGTATACATTACATAATAAATATTCAATATTTATTATGTATACATTACATAATAAATATTGAATAATAAATATATGATGTTCAACCTAAAATAAAGAGACCGACTCTAACTTGATAACAGTGGGGAAAGAAAAATAAATCATGTATTTGAACTTGATTTGTGTTCTCTTAGTGTAACAAACTTCATCTTATTTGTTTTAATATGTATTGGTAGATGAGTATTTTAGTGCATGTGATTTTGTGATTGGTCAGAAAATGTTTGATTTTAAAAAGTGAGTAATGAGTTAACATGGTTTCACATCAAACTTATGCAATCCAAGACAGAAATTTTTCAATTAATGTGTTTAATTGGTACAAAGGAAAGTTAATACAATTGAACCTGCTTATCTTAAAATTCATTTTCCTTTGCATTTTCAGCTTAAATTTAATGTATTTTCCATGTTTATTTCAAATCATTTTCTCCCAAAACCTCTATCTCAAATTATGGGACCTGAAGTGTAAATTAAAAATTCAAAGCTGTGACTACATTTTGATAGCATAAATTGTACTCTTGCAATACAATACATAGTTACAGTTAATGCTGCTTTTCTCTAATTGGCTATGAGTTTGGCTTGCATCTTATTGCTTGAAGAAAGTCAGGCATTAAAAACTATTGACAAACTATTTTTATTAAGGAATGCCAAAATATTTTATTTATATCTAATACAGGTATGCACTGTAGTTGCTATTATATTAATAAAATATCATACCTCCAATCAAACCTGTCTGTCTTAAATTTTTTTCTTGTTCCCATGAGATTCAAGGTAAACAGGTTCAACTGTATATTAAAATTTATTGCAATAAATTATAATGACTATTATAATCTTGCATATTTTGTTTTTTTTTCAATTTATTAAAAAGAATAAATACATTTTTTTAATATACTACAACTCAGCAGAATGAAACAATTTATAATAATCTAATTTGGTATTATCTAATTTGACTACAGTAGGTTACAATAAATATAAAAGCAGCCATTGATTAATCAAACAGATTTCATTAAGATAAAACCTATAATTGAATTTTGTGTTTTTAAATACATTGTTGATAATGAATTATATCAATGTTCTTAAATATGGATATTTCATTATTAATTGCTTATTTATAAAATTAACATAATTCAAATATGAATTTTATATTATTTGTTAATCAAAAAGAATTTTGTCAAAATAACTTTATAATACATTTATAATATACAAATTTAATTTTCTTTTTAAACTTTTAGATGATAAAAATGCAGATGATTATTGTTTGGCATTAATATTACGGGGAATGTGCTTGAAGTGTATTGGACGCACAAAAGCAGCTGAAGAATGTTTTCATACAATTGTTTCATTGTAAGTTTTTGTATTGCTTATAAATTTATATATATAGTTTTAGTTACTTTGTAAAATTTTAAATATGTAATTAAATATAAATTTGATTATGTAATTAAAATTTTGTGGTGTTAATTTGCTAGGCTGATATGTTATTTACAAACATTTTGTTAAACAAACATCATTACACTTTCCTTGTTGGGGTCAAAGTAAGATTGAAATTGACAAATAAGTGACTTTCATTGAATGTAAGTTCTTATTTTTGGAAACCCTCTTGACAATCGGTTTAAGGAAGGGTTAAATTTTTCGAATTTCCCGTTTCGAATTAGAGAAATAACTGATGATGAACGCTTAATGCATTTGAAAACGTTTTATGTTATTAAAGAATTTTGCTGGTTAGTTGAATGGTTTTTATTTTTAATTTTTATTAAATTTTCCAGTAAGCAAGTATACAATTATTTAACACTAGGTGTATTTGAACATGATAAAACTTGTCAATTATTGTTGTAAAGTATATGTATATTTCTTCTTAAATGAAAAAATGAAATTGTTGTAAAGTATATGTATATTTCTTCTTAAATGAAAAAGAAATAAAAATCCTGAGTAATTACAGAAATTGTATCTATATGTATATTGTCCATTACAGTATTATATTTAACATTTATTTTTTTTATACCATGCCATTAATGAGTTTAGTTGTTTGGAATTGAAAATAATTTTTAGTAAAGTAGTATTTGTTGTTGTAAGTATAGATTTTAATAAGTTGGAAGATCATAAATCAGGATTAACTATTTTTTTTATAACAGTACATTTTAAATTTTCATTGAAGTACTTTAAAATGAATTGTGTAATTTGTTTAGATTTGAGAATATTACCTAATTCACATCATTTATATAATAAACTTTTTTTGACCATGAAAAATTGATTATGCACTGCTACAGATTATAGGCCAGAATTATGATATTTCTCAAATTCATAAGGAACTATAAAATTTTGGAATCTACTATTGAAACTAAATCTGTATATATTGTATATGCATATGAATCTTCACTTTAATTCCAGAAAAATTTACGCCAGGAACATATATCAATAATCCTGTATACAGTAGTTATATTAATATAACTATATACATTTCTGATGAACAATATACTTCAGACAAAATACTAAAACATTTTAAATGTTATCTGTGAGAAAGTAATTTGAGGCAATAATAACAACAGAAAATAACAACAGAAAATTTAAATATTAAGTCAACTTTTGAAATGCAGCAAACTGTTCATTCTCAAAGGATTAAAACATAATTTTTTTTATAAGTTGCAACATGATCATCTTATTTTTAATACAAGAGGAAAATTTAAACTTGAGTGCTTTTTTTATATACTGTGTTTTATCAGTTAAAAAGGCATATTAATAAATTTTAATACAGTAGAGCATCGATTATCCGACTCAACTGGGGACTCAGGTTGGTCGGATAACTGAAAAATCGGATAACCAAAAAGAATGAAAAAAATACATTATTAGTATAGTATATTAGTATATCACTATTAACCAACTTTGCGTTGAATTTTCATCGATGTTTAGCCTAACAATTTTTTTATAAATAATAATCGTCGCTATTGTATCGTTAAAAATTATTTTTAAATTATTTTATTGCTCACAAAACAAACAACCACTCATAATTAGAAAATAAAATCTCGTTTAAATACTGGGTTCCCTTTCATGGTCAAGCCAGTGTTGCCAGCTAAAACACGCAAAAATTTAACATAAATTATATTAAACTAGCCAAGATATAGCCAAATATTGTAACACCACATCACTAGTAGACATTTGAAATTTGCCGACTAGAACAGTCGGTTAACCGAGGTGACGGTTAATCGGGGGTCGGATAATTGATGCTCTACTGTATTTAATATTTTCAATGTAACAAACATGTTCTTTCTATCTTGTAAAATTTGTTTCAGAAGATTCATTATCTTTTAATTTCTTTGTTATATTTTTAGTGAAAATCATTAGGATTTATTTTATCATTAAAAAATATTTTGGGGACTCAAAAAATTATTTGCACTAGGACCTCTTTCTGGAGAAGGCCATTCTTAATCATTCTCCATTAGCTGCTTAACCACTAATCATTCTTTGTGATTTCAGTAAAATTATAAACAAATTATATTTAAATATTAAACTATAAAAAAAATATATATATAATTATAATAAATTGTAGAACTAAAATTAATGTTCATATTGAAAAAAGTTCCTGAAATATAATAATCCTAACAGACCCTTTTTCTGTAAGCTACTATTGAAATAAAAAAATAATTTAAACTAATTAATTTTCAAAGACTGTATTAGTAAATTGGGTTTCCAATGCCATGGCCTTCAATCAGTCATGTCATAACTTCAAAAAAAATTTTTTTTTAAATGGTGAATGTGTTCATGATGCAATTTAATTTTGAAATTTACCTATGTCAGATTATTTGAGCCATCTGTTCTTATTTATTATTCTTGATAACTAAAATTAACTAAAACAAATTATCTTGGTTTATACTGTTTCTTTTCTGTGTAATGCCCATGTCCTATGTGAGAACCAAGGGCGTAGAATAAGTTCACGCCGCTTATGGGCACACGATCATGAGATCGGCTCACGGAACTTTTTATAGGAGAACATTAAAACTCAAACGATCTGAACTGTGAAGTTCAAATCTATGTCAGGACTTTCTTTGACACCAGTTTGTCAATTTATCATTCACGGACAAACATGCGAAAAGGGATCTGATTCAGATAACATTCAAAAGTCATGGATTAAACAATAAGGTAGAAAATTTAATAATCTAAAAGTAACAATATGATACAGTATGAGAAATAATCAAATATTCAAAACCAAACGATCAAGATGACGAATAAATTACTCAAACGCGTCAAGAAAGAAATGTATTCTTAACCTATACATTGACGAGAGAGAGAGAGAGAGAGAGAGCTCACAATTCATTTATAAACATACAACCTGTTTATATGACTTTGTCGTCTTCTTATTTGGCAAAGGTACTGTACTTCATTGATAACATTCTTGGATTTCGGTTCAAGAGAGGTCTGGATAGGCACAAATATTAATTATATCTTCTAAGTTCCTAACTTAAGATTAACTTGATAGGAGACGACTAGGGCGTTGGTCTACTGGCATACGTGTGAAGTCCTTTCCACTCTCCGATCTACGGATGAACTCTTAAGGGTGTTGGCCTTAGAGAGCAAATGAGTGGAGTCCTGTCACTTTCAGAACTGCCGACGAACTCCTCGAATTCGGCTGAATTTTGACTATATCTTTCCATTTGCGGCCAATCATCCTACTGTTTTTCACCCACATGAATGGATGAAAAGGGGAAGAAATGTGGGGTCGTCAGTTCCCATCATGGTGAGATTTTTAACAGATAAGGGAAAAACAGAGGATGCTCATACTTCCGTCAAAGGAAGTGACTCTCTTATCTGCTTTCTCATGCTAGAAAATGTTATTTTCCCATCAAAAGGAAAGAATATTTTTCTGTAAAGATTTTATTTTAATTTTAAATTATTATTTTAGACCCGGGGCTATTCGGATCTCACACCTATAAATAGTATTTACATCTAAAGTTTTGTCCCATCCTTTGTTCTGTGACAATATAGCAGATATTCTTCAGCAAACTGCATAATACTATAGTGTGACCTTGACTTATCAATACTTGATATATAAAATATGATAAAACAAACTGCTTTGTTTTATTCTGCTTCCTAATTTACAAGATGATATAATTAAATTCAATGAATACTGATCAATATTTATTTAGTGTAAGAACAGAATATTCTAATTATGAGGTCCAATTAGATTGAAATTTTCATTCACTTTGATTAGAGAGTTCATAGGTTCTGGTTTCCATTTTCTTTGTTTCATTCACATTGTGTATTTGTTCATTAGGGGTAGTGCCATTCATTCTAATGTGATTGTGTAGTTTATTAAACTTTACCTCTGCATTACAAATCTTTTCATTGGCAATTAAATTTATTAATTAACTAAAAATTAATTTTAAAAAATTTTAATAGTTTTACGTTTTACTCATATTTTACTTATTGTCTTAACCGTTGTTTTCTTATCATTAAATAAACAAATGTCTGATAACTTGTGTCTGATAAAAGTGAATGCAACATAAGGAAATACAACATTCACTTTTCATATAGCACACCAGGTTATTCATTAATAAATTTGTCAGTTTCTTTTATATTTATTTTAGTTAGAATCATTAGTTGATAGGTAAATAAGTACTTTATAATACTGTAATGTTATTAAGGAAGATTGGTGAATTGACTGGGTTAAAGGTACAAATTTGACCATAAGAAATAATGGATAAATTATTTAAGAGATTTTAATTCATGAGATGTTTTCATGAATGATATATGCTTGTAAATTGGAATTACATACTGTATAATTTTTCAACTAAAATATTTGTTATAAATTTTTTTAGGGAGAAGAGAATTAAAGATGATACATACTTAATTCCTTTTGCAATGACAGAACTAGGTTGTATGGCACTTGATGAAGGAAATTTAACACTTGCTAAGGAATTATTAGAACCTGCAAGGTAAACTGATATTTTATTATACAAGAAAGTAATATCAGTTTAAATTTATTTTGCTATTTTAAAAAATAAGATTTTAAAACTTTTTAGGTGTTTATATTTTAATATATTTATTATATTTTTTCAGACACAATTACCATAATTATCCATTGGAAACCTTACTGCATTTTAGAGTTCACTCAGCTTTACGCTTTTTAAGATCAAAAGGCCAGAAACTTAATTCTAATTTAACACCATCACCTCAAACCACCCCCTTGCCTTCTCCTGAACCATCTCCCATTCACCATAACAAAGAATTTGCTCCTTTTCGTACTCTAAGTCCAAAACCTCCCTCTCACAATAGTCAGTTTCTTCATCCAAAAAGTGGAGAATTTGCAGCAACTCCTTAATATTCAAAATACTTTACTGTTAACTGTCATTTTCAGAGGATTTTATCAATGCCTTGTAGAAACTTCTATAAATTATTAAAAAGGCACTGCAAATTGCAGTTAATTTGAAAGACTATAATGTTAATTGTTGTATATGTATATATGTGTTATATATACAATATTTATAACTCTTTAAAATTGTAGATACATTTTTTTTTATTCATTATCTTGATAGATATATATTTTGATGGCATTGGAATGAAAATAATGAAATTGTTTATATCTTATTTGTAATATAGAAGATATTTAGTGTTTATAGATAGCTAATATTTAGAATTCAAATGTATTAAAAGATCAGTAATTTTTTCTAAAATGTATTTGCTATTGTTCAGATTAATTTAGTACTTAAATTTATTTTATTTAATGACTATGAAATTTATTTTTTTATATAAATTAATATATTTTATATTAAAATTTTAGTAAATATTATTATTTATGCATATGAATGTGAGGATGTGCATTGTTCTTGTAAGTAATTTTCAAAAAGAAAATTATATCTTTAAAAATGGTGACTAATTTAAAAGATGCAGTATTATAATGATTGTTGTAACTATTGTTGCAAAACTTCAGAAATATTTTTATATTATCTTAGATAAGTCTGATACTTATTGTTAAGGTAATCAAAATATTTACTTGTTATATGTAAGCTCATAGTGATATCATATCAAATAATTAGTTTTATTTGAAAATCTGTTGCCTTTAAATGATTATTCTATTTCCTAATGTATGTTAGATATAAAAAGAGTTTATTAGTCAAAGAATAGAAATATATCAAGTTTATAATCTGAAAGTACTAAATATTGTGAAGTAAAATTATATTAATAATTATCATATTTATATCAAATGCCACTAATCAAACAATTAAGTCAGATTTATTATCAGGGTATGTTTAGAAGAGTTTATGATTTAGGCCTGGTTTCTTATATGATTATATACATGTCACGCCAAAGTAAAAGCTTAAAGATGTCTGATTGCCTTAGAAGCATGTAGTCAACACCAGTCTGTGGCCAGTACTCAAACAGTTAAATAATAGTTAAGTAATAGTACTTAAAGTAAGCAACTTAATCACCTACCTTTAGTCAAAATTTCATAACATTTATATACTTAAATACACAAAATGTAGTCTGGCAAATTGATCTGGTATAATTATTTGATTAGGGGCTGATTTCTTATCATTATATCAAATATCATCATTCTTATATTAAAATGAGATATTAAATATATTTTCATTAGAACTATCTGGAATAAATTTCATTTTTCAACAATAAAAGCATTTTAGTTATATAAATGGATTAAACCAACATTAAAAATTTTTAAAAATCATATGATATTATAATAAGTTAAATGGCTTATTTTAAGTATAATAATTTACTCAAAATAAACTGTTTATTAATTTATCATAAATATATTTGTTAGCATATCAAAACAAAATTCTTTTTAACAAATTTTGATGTGTAGTATATAGTATATAGANTTAAAGATTGAAAACTGATGTTAGAAATAACTTAATGATGATTACTTTCTAAAATGAGGAATTATAGAAATAAACATATAATTTTATTTATTTTATTATTGTTTTCTGAATTATTTAATTAATATTCCATAATCATAAATACATTTTCAGAAAATTTGAAATATATTATAGATATGTGATCTTAGACTCAGATTCTACAATATTTGTTTAGTGTGTGAACGTTTCTTTGTATTTCTAAAAAAAATAGGAGACCTTACTTTTGGGACTACCCTCGTATATTATTGATATAAATAGGAATGAATGAGATGAGCACAAACTATGGCAAACTGTTACACATTAAGATGTGAACACAGTTTACTTTAACAACAAAGAATTATTAGAATAATTGATTTAAAATGCAATTGGTTGAAAGTGTATCAACCAATGTTCCAATTTTTCCATAAATTTAGGGATAGTTTTAGTTGATTATGAAAATAAACAAAATTTTTTATAGTTTAGTTAGCATTTCAAAAATATTTTACTCTAACATATATATTAAATACAGTTTTAATCTTCAGCAATAAATACAATAATAAAGGTCATTTGTTTAAGTAATCTACATTAGCTGTAATGAATAAAAAAAAATAAATGAAATTGCTTCTTACCTTTAGATTTCATTATTGTAAATTCTGGCATTCAAGTTTACTTCTAGATTTTTAGCTCAAAATTCTAATTTATATTCTATATTTGCCCAAATATAAGCTACTAATAGACTATAACTGAGATGCAAATAAGATATACAATGGCTAGTAGTGTGGTTAATACAATGGTTAAGTGTGGTTAAATGATGTTTAAGGGCCCAGACCAAGCCCTAGGAACTGTTTCTATGGAACACTATAAACATGAGAATTTTTTAATTATATAAGAACAAAAAAAGTAACAAACACAAAATAGTTTTATTACAAAATTTTATTTTGTTTATAAATTTTTTTTTGTACGTTACTTTTGGAATGTTTCTTCTTTTTTTTGTTCAATATAAAATTTGCTTACAACAAAAAAATATTTTATTATATCTTATCGACCTACCTATTTAATATAATTTCTAGTGTTGTAACGAATAGTATATTCAGCCTCAGGCCGAATACCGAATATTCGGCCAGGAGCGTGGCCGAATATTCGGCCAAACTATTCGGCTCAATTAATGCACGTACGAAAATTGGCGTGCAAACCGCATTATGGCAAGGATCCTGCTCTCTGTTGGCCCGCTGTCACTATGCTTCGCCAATCGCGTTAATTCTTGGCAGTTGTAGCGGACAGACAAGAGTGTCATGGAAGTATGTGATAAATGATGATATCAAATGTGGATAACAATGAAATGACCTACACGTGTAAATAACGGAAAAAGAACAGAGAAGGACCGCGAAGTGAAAATGTGAAAATAAATATGAAATTGAGTTGATAACATAATCGAACAAGTCGAAGCAGCTTATTGGCACGAAATTCGCGGCCGTCAATGCCAAACAATTGTTGTCATAGACTTCGGAAAGCTAAATGCTTGTAATGAAAGTCACTTAGCGTGCACGGGCGAAAGCCTGGGGCCGTTCGGGCTATCAAGCTGTCTCGAATCTGTGAAATCATAACTGTGACTTATATCGACGTCCTATCTGTCTCTTTTCTCCGTTATCACCAGGCTGAGTCACGTAATTGTAAAATGGGAACTCTACGACGGAAAAGTGACGAATCGAAAGTATCGTGAGCGCGTATTATGATGTATGCACAGGCATACATGGATTAGAGCGATAGAGGAAAGAGAAAGGGAAGAGCAAAGACGAGCGCTTAAAAAGAAGGATAGGCAGGGTCAGACCCTCAGATGTGCGAGGATTCTCCAACGATAGACGTGTACGTGTGCTGATCTTTGTAATTATAAATTGTGAATACATGTGACTAATATTATTTTCTTTTTTATTTTGTGCATGTTACAAGTTATAAATAAATATAAACAAACAACACTAACTCGATAACATTAAATCTAAATATCAAAATGATTAATTTACTGTGTTTTTGTTATTTATTTATCCTGTTTTTAAGTATTCGGTATTCGGCCGAATAGTGATTAAATATTCAGTATTCGGCCGAATAGTGAAAAATAGGCCGAATACCGAATAGTAACCGAATATTCGTTACATCACTAATAATTTCCTTATAATTTAAAGTTTTAAAATTGGCAATTAAAAATGTTCAAATTTCTATATTATCATTAAGGCCAGGGCCAAAGTACTACAGGGCCCTCTATCATATTTTGCAACTGAAATTTCAAGTTATGCCACTTCACCTATAGGAAAAGCATACGTTAGTGACCTAAAGTATGCTTTTCATCAGGACACTAATTGCAATATCTTTCAATATATATTAAATGGCTCAGAGACAACAGAATTTCTTTTATTATATTTATCTGTGATAAACAAGTTGACCAAACACAAATTTTAGTTGGAAACATTTGTGATAATGTATTGAGTTATAGTAAATGGTGCACAGAAATTGTTAAGAATGCTATTTCACTTGTTTACTTCTCTATGTTAAAGTTTGCATTTTATAGTTGTTACATAAGTCAATTCTTAATTTTGGAGATTAGGATGTAAAAGATCAATTTATTGCAAAACCATAAATCACACCATTGTGTGTGTTAGTTTCCAGTAAGTATTGCTTCTGAATGTCATCTCTAAAATTCCTCCTGCAATTAAAGATAATGTTTTCCATGTTCATTACATTTTTCATAGTTTTTTTTTTAATCAATAAATTTTCAATGTAACTTTTAAAACTTTTTACCCTTTATTATGATTTTATAATTTAATAAAATATAGATTAATAATTTTCATTAAGGGTTTGGCACACCAATTTGTAATCATGATTTTACATTTTTGTTGTGTATTAATTTTTATAATAGATAACTAAAAGATCTAATTTAATTTTTTTTTTTAGTTATAACCCCTTTTCAGTTAGTCTGTGCTTTAAAACCCTCTTTTTTGAGAGTTTTAAAGCATAGACAAGGTCTCCAACAATTGACTTACAATATTTTTAATGAACTTCTAACAAACTATCCACACTAAAATATTTTTTACACTTTACAATAGCATTATAACTAATAAACTTTTAGTTTGATGATGATTCTTATTGGACTGCAATTTGAAAAAAAATTATAGACCTATAATTTCCCACTGTTATCCGTCTATCCTTCCTTAATCTCGAGAATGAAGTTAGATAGATGAAGATATAGGCGAGAGCAGATATTGAAAGATTAGGGACAGGAAGCCTTGATTAACTATATACAAACATCTGATGCAAATCAGTTCAAAAATTTTCCTCTGAAAGATGATCAACATGATACTTGCTAACAGGAAAAGTATGATATACAGGGGCAAGACACTACTAATTTGAGGTGGAGAGCATATATATTACAGTAAAAATTGTTAATGTATAGTATACTTCTTTTTATTTTGGTGTTGTTTAACTTAAATTATAAGTGTTTAAAATAATGATTGGTTATAACAATTACTGTAAAATATAAAATAAATTTCTAAATACTTACTTACATATAAAGAAACTTTATATATATTGTAAAACTACAATTTTTCAATCATAATTCATTTATGATTTGTAATGCCTTATTTAATTTTGAAATAATGCAATATCACAGTAAAAATTTTGATGATAAATTTTAGTGTATTATTTTAATTTTATGCATGGATATGATCACACAAGGTATACATACTGTTTATAAAATTTACCATTCAAGACAGTCAAATTAAACTGTAATTAGTGAACTTACTTATAGGTTACATATATTTCAAACTAACTTTCAGTTAAAAGTATTTTCTTTACAGATATTTTCAGTATGAGATTTATTAACAAAAAAAAAAAGCTAATCTGATATTTTATCTTATGTAAGTTAAAGTATTTATAAAATATTCTCTTAATTTTATCTGCATAAAGCTGAAAAACATTACATCAGTGATTAGTAATGCCTTTATTGAACTGCATTCTTCAAATTTTTATATATTTCTACTTTGCATGAATCTTTATTTATATAATTTCTTTAATGCAATCTTCACATAAACTGAGTTAAAACTTAAATATAGTTGCATCATCTGTATTTAATATTATTATTTGTAAGATATTCTTACAAATTTTATATAGGCCTGACTTACAATAACTTTGTATAGACCAAAATTAATAGAGTAGAGAATAATATTGATCTAAACTGTCTGGAATGATTAAATAATGACAATGATTGTCTTACAAAATATATTAATTATAAAAAATGATAAATTTAAAACATATTGATTCTATAAAATACTCATAAATTGATCTAGAAACTGGGTGAAAAATAATACATAATAAGAATGGAAAGTTTTAAATATCGTTGGGACAAATGTATTTTCAAGATTGCAATGATTTCTAGGTTTATTCTTTGATTTTCAAGTTAAATTTAAATGGTGTGTTATTAAACTTTCGTTTTTATTAATGATCAAATTATAATTGAAAATTATTGAATAGTGACTTAATTTCTCCCTGTTGTTACATAGTACTCTGCATAAGGGTAGCTGTATTTTATTGGAAGGCTAAACCCTGATTTTCTAAACCTTCTAGTAATGCATAAGAGCACAGATCCAAGATATGGGATGAAAAGGCTTATATAAATGTGATCCTTTTTTATTATTTCTAATTTTAATAGTGGGAAGAGAGATTTTTGTACATGGATGTGAATGCATTTGAATTTAGCATAAGTGTATTCTGCCCTATGCATTGCCATATTAATAAATTTTAACTTTTTTTGTACCAATGTTGTGATGATGATAATACGTAGGCTCTACAAATAAGTGCAGCCAGGTGGTTGGAATGAAGTGGCCAGAATAATGTGAGGATATAGATTAAACTTGTGATATATACTGAAATAAATTCCTTCAGGCATTTTTTGTATTAGGAGATCTAGGAGACTGAAGCTGTCTTTTTTTTTCTACAGTAAAATTGAAGTGTATATCTGGGATAATTGCTGTATTAATTGCAAAAGTTCGAAATTGGTGTTCGTAATATATTATTTACATATCTAATATATAATAGTGGATACTGTATCACTAAAGGCTCAGAAAAAACTCTAAATTCAATATTTCTCATAATTAACTCTGCAAGTAATGCTGATAGTGGAGAGCTCATGAGGTTTGTGGAATGATCTGATCCAGTAATGGCATATGAACAACTAGCAAAGATCAATAATATCATCTCATGTAGAATAAAACTTATGAAAGATAAAATGAACAAAAAATCTGCAATGGCTCAAGTATTCCAGCAAGCATAATAAGAAAAAGTGTATGCTGGTAAAATGTGAGTATCGCAATTATTTTGATGATACAGTATCAGAACAAGTTCGCCAAGTCCCACAATGTGGTCCCAAGCATATATCTCCCCTGAAAAAGAATCTAAGCCAACTAATTCCACCAGTCATGACAGCAGTAAGGAGCTGTTCTCAAGAAAACCAAAGAATAAACCTAGAAATTGCTGCAATCTCGGAAATACACTTGTCCCAGCAATATTGAACAACTAAGCTGATCATCAAAAAATGTAATGTGGTGAAAAAAGTCCTTTTAAAAAAGAAGTTAAGACTGATCACTTTGGACAAAGTTAAACAGTTTGTATTGTACAAAAATGACAATTTAGAAAATACTACTTAGAGCTAATAAATTTTTTTCACAATATGGGTCTGTATTAATGTAAGAATATCAATTTTGAATGATTTATTATTATGGTTTCATATATTTATTTTGTCCTTCCAATATACACTGAAGTGCCAGGTGAATTGATATACCTAACTGATAGTGTAGTGGCCTTTTGTCCAAATAATCATTGCTATATGGTGTGACATGTAGTCCACAAAATGTTGAAAGTACAGTAATCAAGAGATATACTGAACGGATTCCACAATTCAGCACAGGTAGTTGGTGGAAGATTCAAAACCCAAATAGGTTGCTCCACATTGGTTCAAATCTGGAGATCTAGAGCAGTGGTTTCCAAAGTGGGGTATGCATATTCCAGGAAGTACTCAAAGTGATACATAGGGTATGCCAAGTTTCCCTTCAAAATACTGTAATTCTAATTCAAAATGTAAATTTTAATTTAATTTAAATGTATAATGTTTAAAATAAATAAATAAATTTTTTTGACCCCACACACACACACACATTATATATACAATACTAGCAGAACCCACCATGCGTTGTGGCTCAAAATGTATCTACTGTATTATAAATGTATAACACTTCCCCCATTGGGGGGAATTTTTCGAAAAATCCCTTCTTAGTGTACATTCTCTTGACGTACCCTATTAAATCGCAATCAAAAACACACAAAAAACCACATCTAAAATAGTATAAATAGAAGCAGAATTCTTTACAGTAGGCCTTAATCCTGTCCAGCTCCCCCCAGTGGGAGGAATTTCGACATGTATATTATATAAAAACGTGTGTATTTGAATGCAGTGTTGTGTCAAAATTTTAAAGGAATCGGTAGGAACAAACGAACATTACATTTTTATTCACATAGATAGATAGATGATGATCTGCTTTAGTTTATCCTCACAGAAAAGCAAACTTAGGTCGTCGTACTCGTAGTTCCATCTGTTGGACATAAAAGCCTTAACCCTAGATGATATTGTTTAATTTATATGAATGTTTAACGGAATAATATACAGCCTATGTCCACCCTGAAGTTCCNAATTTTCTTAAACAAAAGAAAATTTATTTTGTAAACAGTTTGTACAAATTCATTAATTTCTTTATCTGAATCTGGCTCTTGTTGTCCAAATTGATTACAAGGAAAGGCTAAAATTATTAAATTTTTCTTATAACCTAAAATATTTTGCAATTTCACTAATTCAGTATAATGATCTTTGATAAATCCACAGTAAGTTGCTACATTAACAATCAGTACTACCTAAAATAAAAAACAAAAAAATACTTTTCTCAATTTTAATCAATATAATAATACTGATTCATAAGAACAATTAAAATATTAAAAGTCTATTTCAAAGCTATTATTTATTTCTGTCTGTAACAAATAACAAATAGATGCAGCTAATAAAATACTTCATTAAAAAAACCATACTGAAGAGGTGCCAGGGATAGAACATCTGGATGTGGATATCTTCATAGTAAGATTTCCATTTCATAGGATAACCACAATATTAATATTACTATTATGATTGTCTTAGGAATAAAAAAGTGAATGTAGTTTATTGGTGTAAAAAAAAAATTAAAAAAGGAAAGTGAGATGAGAATCTTTAAGATATGGATACAAAAAAATGATGAAAAGAAGAGCAAGTTGGATCAGAAAGTGAAGAAAATAATTTTTATATAACAGTATTTTATAGGCATTATGGAGGTTTGTAACTTATTTTACCAACAATTAACATTAACAGATGTTAAAAAATAATTCAATAAAATACGTGAACAGCAGAATATAAGTATCAATATACCTATAGTTAAATTTTTAAGAAAAATTGCAGACTGGCTGAAATGTTGCCAACAGGTTTCTACACCTGTCAGCAAGCAAAACTACTGATTGCACTTGCATTGCAATCAGTAATTGCAATGTGGTCCAGTCTTAGGATCTTCAAACAGCAATGTAGGTAATGCATTTCTTACATTGTAACAGATGTTTCTGACCACAAGTCCTGGTTGGCAGTGGTCTTTCTGGTATTCATACCACCTGGCACACACTTGCCACAATTGTTCTTGAAAACCCAAGTGCACTTGCCATATCAGAGAATGGCCCATCCATTTGGCTCCTATAATCTTCCCTTGTTGAAATGTTGAGAGATCATTTTTTTTGTACTCGTTGTGAACAGTGATACATATCACAAAACTAATGCTTACAATTTTTTTGCTGCAAAAATGTTCACAGCTGATTACATTACATGGGTGTGAATTGCTTATTACTTTCATGCAACTAGATGTACTAATTCGTCACGCTTCTGTAGTTTATTCTGTATCATAATTTACCAAATAAATTCATAACAAAACTTTTCTGTAATGTAATTGAAACAGACTTAAATTACAAAAATATTTAGAATAAAATTTGAATCATTGATCATTTTAGGATGTCAAGTATTCCAGCAAGCATAAGAAAAAGTGTATGCTGGTAAAATGTGAGTATCGCAATTATTTTGATGATACAGTATCAGAACAAGTTCGCCAAGTCCCACAATGTGTTCCCAAGCATATATCTCCCCTGAAAAAGAATCTAAGCCAACTAATTCCACCAGTCATGACAGCAGTAAGGAGCTGTTCTCAAGAAAACCAAAGAANAAAGTAATGCACAACAATCTTATTTTCAAATTCATATTTATAATACATATATGTAAGATATAAATGTAAGGAATCTCAAGTAAATGTTATATATAATTCAATAACGCATAGTAGCTCAAAAGGTATTTTATACATTTAAGTTTAAATTGTTTATAAATTTTGAATTTATAATTCTTTTAAGGGTATTGCATGATGATCTGCTTTCTCAACAGCTGATTTTACATCTTCAAATATAGCTGATACTGATGTAAAAGGGCTCCAAGCATTTAGAAAATTTCCAGAATGATCAATTAAGTATTTCCAGAAATTCCAGTTTGGTTGTTTCCCAGATTCCTCTACAATAGAAAAAATAAATATAAATAATTAGTTTGAAAATTAATAGCAATTATAAAGTTTTCTTTATATAGTTCTGTTTTCATTAAAACTTTTATTACAAGAAATATTACTTATAAATGAAAACTAGGCCTATATTTATTTCTGTTCTTCAATTATTTATTTAAGTGTTATAATAATTTTATAATTTACACTGAATAATTAATTAGTTTTGTTTTAATTCAGTGGCATAGCCTGCCCCAGTGGGGCTACGCCACTGAATTAAGGGGGGCAAAATTTCACAATAAATAATAATAATATCTTGTAAAAATTTGAACCATTTCATTTCATATTTTTGTCGCACCTACGATTCGGACCGATTGCAATGAGCACAGAATTTTTCATTACTTATTCTGTGACGAAACTGAATTTTAGTCTTTTAAATTGAGATACCTAAATAAGGGGCAGCGAAATTTTCCTCCGCCCCGGGCGGCTGACACCCACACTATGCCACTGTTTTAATTATTATATTATTACTTTTCTTTCATATGAAATAAAAACAAAATTTAACAAACAAATTCTTTAAAGTTTTATGTAAAAATCAATTTTTAATATTGTGATATAGGATAATGTAATTTTATAATAAAAATTAACCTAGAAAAATATATATATGATTACAAGTTCTTTCATTATGTACATTTTTAAAAATGTTTTTTTTAACAGTCTGCAAAATGATACAATAATATAAATAATAGTTATTTAATTAATTTTATGCTAATGACTTTTTTAAGATTTACACTTACCAAATAAAAATTGAAAGACTGGATGAATATTTTCTCCTATTACATCAATTTTCTTAAACAAAAGAAAATTTATTTTGTAAACAGTTTGTACAAATTCATTAATTTCTTTATCTGAATCTGGCTCTTGTTGTCCAAATTGATTACAAGGAAAGGCTAAAATTATTAAATTTTTCTTATAACCTAAAATATTTTGCAATTTCACTAATTCAGTATAATGATCTTTGGTAAATCCACAGTAAGTTGCTACATTAACAATCAGTACTACCTAAAATAAAAAACAAAAAAATACTTTTCTCAATTTTAATCAATATAATAATACTGATTCATAAGAACAATTAAAATATTAAAAGTCTATTTCAAAGCTATTATTTATTTCTGTCTGTAACAAATAATAAATAAATGCAGCTAATAAAATACTTCATTAAAAAAACCATACTGAAGAGGTGCCAGGGATAGAACATCTGGATGTGGATATCTTCATAGTAAGATTTCCATTTCATAGGATAACCACAATATTAATATTACTATTATGATTGTCTTAGGAATAAAAAAGTGAATGTAGTTTATTGGTGTAAAAAAAAAATTAAAAAAGGAAAGTGAGATGAGAATCTTTAAGATATGGATACAAAAAAATGATGAAAAGAAGAGCAAGTTGGATCAGAAAGTGAAGAAAATAATTTTTATATAACAGTATTTTATAGGCATTATGGAGGTTTGTAACTTATTTTACCAACAATTAACATTAACAGATGTTAAAAAATAATTCAATAAAATACGTGAACAGCAGAATAAGTATCAATATACCTATAGTTAAGTTTTTAAGAAAAATTGCAGACTGGCTGAAATGCAAACCAGGATGTGACGTAGTTAATAAATATTTTTGTGATGTATGACTAGACTGTATTTAATGAATAGTGAGGTTGAGGCCGAAGTTTTAAATGCGAAAACATGTACGTCTGACGTTCAGTGCTGCTTTCCTGTAAACCTAGAAGTTTTACAATGTTGTTTGGAATGCTGAGTATGATTCCACTGACTATCCAAACACCATTGTCAAACTTCTAGGCTTACATGAAAGTGGCGCTGAATGTCCGACGTACCGTTTTTGTGTTTAAAACTTTGGCCTCAACCTCGCTAATGATTACAATTGATTACAATAGCCAACTTAATAATCACATAAACATATGCACAGACAAAAAGCATAAGAAAGAGTAAATGGAATGTTTTCAAAGATAAATATCAAAACACTCAAGGAAAACACTTCTAAATTGAACTACTCAAACTGGGTGTATGTACTGTAAATAAACACTACACATATAACCAATATCAAATAAATAAAGAAAAGCAAGAAGAAAGCAAATTTTTTCATCCTTGTCAAACAAGCATCTTCAGCCTAACTGACCTTAGCCTGATAATTCCAGTTCAGCATGGATGAAAATGTCTGCTTTGTTGTAGTTTTTCTTACTGGATACTGATTACGTGTAGGTTTATGAAAATACCATACTTACAAAATAATATAGCTTTTCTTAAACCAGTTTATCAGTTTGAATAATTTAATACCAAATGTTAAAAATCTGTTTTATGTACATACAGACATAACCTTCACGCCTTTTCACTTTTGGATTGGCAGTGAATGAGCCGCTTCCACACCGCTTGTTCCAAACATACCTCTCTCGCTTCTTCCACGCTCATTAATTAAGGCCTATCGTACATATTTACGCTGACTTCGACCATGCATACTTGTGATGTTCTTTGCAATCAAAGCGTCACAGACACCATCTGTCAATCTCTTTGGCAGGCAGCCCCTTGGTTGCCTGCCATACACCACATAACATATACACGCTTTTATGTTATTTCTCTTTTTTATGTTAAATTACAAAATAAAAATTATAAAATTAGCTCAACTTTGATGTAGAAGTTTTAACAGCTGTATTTTTACATCTGTTAAATAGTAATTAAACTCGCATTACTAGAAAATATTTGATACAATTAAAAATCTATTTGGCACAATTCAAGCTCTGAATGATATGTTTAATACGATATATACTTTGTTTTTACCAGTGGACCCTCCTATAACACTGTTGATTTTTCCATGTTATATGAATTCCATGTTGTACGAGTCACTTATATTTTACAAATACGCAAGCCGTTCACAGCCCGGCACACGTATTTGTAAAATCTAAGTGACTCGTACAACTTGGAATTCATATAAAACGGAATAATCATCAGTGTTATAGGGGGGGTCGACTGTACATTACTCAACTATATGCAGTAAGTAATAAAAGTTTTCATAATAATAAATTATGTAAATATATAATGTTGAAATCATTTTTATGATGAAAACAGGGCAAATTTCTGCATACAATGATTAAATTAACAGTAAAATATATAAACAAAATTAAATAGGATATTGAACTTTGATGTAATTTAGAAAATTACCTTTCCTCTAAACTCTTCAAACTGTACTTCATTACCATTTGTATCTATTGCTGTTAACTTATAAAATCTGTCATTTGCATTAATAAAGTTACACAATGTAAACAAGAGAATTACAAAAGAGAAAAACTTTCTCATAATTAAATGTGTATAAAACAATTTACTTTTAATAAATTCATATAAAATTTTCAAGTTAGTTAAATTGAATTTGTATATTTCAGTCTAAAAATATTCAACATTAAAAGACCAAGAACATTTATTAATAAGTCATTAATTGTTGTTCGAACGTAACGAGGTTAGTAAAAACATCTGTTTACACATGGCCCCTCCCACAATTTAAATAATAATAATAATCGATTTCACAAGAAGCATAAATCATTATTATATAATATGAAAATTTAAAATAAAATATTGCGACTTTCTGTATTAATTAAACATCGGGATTAAAATAAATAAATAAATAAAAGTGTAATGTTTTGATCGTAACAACGGTAAGATTGAACCGTAATTCCGGTGACATCCGCCATTCTGGCGTCGAAGGACGACGTTTTTTAGGGGAAAAGAAAATCGCTAAATTAACGTCTAATCGAATTGCAATAATCGTAAAAACTTAATTTTTTCGATTATAAAACACAATGGGAGTTATTCGCGATCTGAATAATATTACAAATCCATTTGACACTTCTATCGAAGATGTTTTGGAGCAGTGAGTATATTGTTTGATCTCCATTTATAATAATAATAATCGCTTTAAAGTGCACGAGATAATTCCGTCATACAACAATAACTAAAAGTAATCGATTACTTATAAAAATAATCGATTACTTATAAAATATAATCGATTACTTATAAAAAATAATCGATTACTTATAAAAATAATCGATTACTTATAAAAAATAATCGATTACTTATAAAAATAATCGATTACTTATAAAAGATAATCGATTACTTACGAGTAATCGAGTAATACTTTAAAAGGTACACAAACTTAAATAAGATTTAAAAAAGAAGGGAGGAAGAATTCCCTTTCAAGAATTTACTAAAGTATCTTTGAACTACATTAAAATATATATTATAAATTTATTCCATTTATTACTACAAAATCAGGTGTTTTTATAGACATTGATATTGGTACAATTACCTAATTTTAAACTATTCTGATCACTCTCTCTGTTAATTTAAATTGCAAGTTGGTATGCTAGTTCGCACGGCTATTTTTAGTAATGATATACACTATCTGACAGTCTATAATGTTTCAATAGAGGTTTGCCTTATATAATGGAGTAATACTATTTTAAAGTAGAATTTGTCTAGAATTTATGTAATTACTTGTGTTAGGATTGAATAATAATATCAATTTAAAGGGTTTTTTGAATGTTCTGTATATTAATATTGTTGACAGTTTATACTTTAGATGTATGGATGTCTACATTTCAATTTTGTGAAGTTAATGAAATTTTAATTAATTAAAATTTTTACAAATTTATTAGGAAATTAGATTATATTTCTGTTATATAATATAAATACTCATGCAATTTACTATGATAAATCAAAATTTTCAAATGCATATGGATTAGGTGAAAATATAAAAGTTATAGAAATATCTTAAATTGATTAGGAAAAATATCTTGAATATTTTTTTTTTTGTATACTTTTTAATTAGTGATTCATTAGTGAAGGTCATATAAAGGACAAATTTTAATTGTTGGAATACTTAATTAGCATTGAGTTATGAATGTGTAATGAAATACAATGGAAGATTTGAGCATTTGATTTTAATTTTGTTTCTGTTTTTGCATTATTTATGTATATTTTAACAATGAATTGATGATTGTAAATTATATAGTACTGTTATTGTCAGTTAGGATAGTAAGAGGGTAGTTATTGTACTGCAACAATTCCTTGATACCAATGTGATCGGTTTTGTTACTTATTTGTTAAAAATAAATATAATAATGCAAATTTTATGATTTCAATGGAAGAAAGTAATCTTAAAGAAACAGAAAAAAAGTAGAAAAATTTAAACTGACATTTCTTGGAAACATGTCAAAAAAGTATGGAGCACAGACTAAAAATAATTACCATAATTTCGTGTGGATAATTTGTAGGTTATCTGTGTTGTCGGATTATCATTTATTAAAAGGCAATTTGAAAGGGGTGCAGATTATTAAAATTAGCAGGTTATATGCCAATTTTTAATTCCAATTGTGAGTTAAAACAAAAGTACATTAACTAATCAAATAAATATTAAAATCATTTACTTATGACTAAATTCTAAAAATAATTGATGATGCATTATTACAAAACTGAAATATTAAAACAAGTGAAACTAGTGATGAAATCCAGTTTTAGCATTTTGAACAAAATTGAACAGAAAATAATTTTAATATCAATAATAAAATTATTTTGTGTTTAATTTTTTCCAAATTTATTTTATTACTACTACTGGACAAAGGAAATTAGTCATAAAATAAAAATGATAAATTGTGTTTATTTTTACACTTATGTACTGTACGTAAGTGAGATGGTTAACAAACACCTGTAATTGAATTATGGGGCCATTGAGAACAGGGGTGAATTTTCCAGTATTTCACAGAGCTTTCATAGAAGCCATTTCCTTATTATGATGAAGTATCATAATATACACACAAGGCATCTTCAAATGTGCATTAGTGAAGACAACATGCAAGCACAGACTTGTGTCTGTACGCCACCAGTAGTGTAACTAGGAGAGGGTAGTCCATCCTGAATAGCATACTGAATTGGTCTACTGCAACAAAAAGAAAACTTTTTTGTTGGGATAGTAGAAGGATAAAAATGCCAGATGCAATTTTATTTTTCCATGAAAACACAGCTTAATGTCAATAATTTTCAACAATGGTAAGGACTATGTTCTCTTGAAAACAGCCTTATTGACCATCATATCTGTTTAAGCTCTTAATTTTGCTTAATTAATAAAAACATTGATAACGGTGTTAGTGTCATAATTTTTTCACAGGATTTTTTCTATGGCTATACATTGTTTTTACTTTCTCTCAAGTACGTTTGATATGTATTTTGTTGTGTTTGTCAAGAGGGTGTCAAAGTAAAGGGCCACCCAGGCAAACCCTAGCTATGCCACCGTATTAAGCTATTGTCTTTGCTAATACACGTTCAGTATTGAAAGTAATTTAATATTTTAAATTTTATACAAATGTTAGGAACGATTAAGCTATTGGAAAATATATTTTAAGTAATTTATTGAAAGTAATTTAATATACTTACGAAGTGATTTTATAAGCACATAAAGAGCGATGTATCACACTATCGTTTATAATTAAGTACAAATAAACATGACAGAACCTACTCAACTACGATATAAAAATATAATGACACCCAAACACTGACTTTTAGGTAATTTTTTCCTATTGTGGGATACTCAAAATGCGCCATCTGTTGTCGGAATGTAGATTTAACTAATCTATAATCGCTTAAAATCATTTAAACTTTTTATTATTTTTCTATAAAAATAAAAAGTAAATTTCTGTAATAAAAATTTTTAAGTTTTCAAACTTTAAAAGAATTAAATTAAAAGTTTTTAAATAATTATTTCTTGTTTGTATTTATTTTGTAATGTTTATTTGAAAGATGAGGCTTAGGTACAGTACAATTAACAGTACATTTTACGGATGCTATTTTAAGCAAAGAATTTTCTAGAATTATAAAGTATATAATATTGTAAATAGTTTTTGATGACGATAAACTTAGGAAAATATATATATATATATATATTTTATTACGAATAAAACGTTAGTCATTTTAAAACTACTGCAAAAATCGGAAATGATTTTGTAAACGGATTACCAATGCATAAAATCATTTCGAAATGACCTAAATTAATAATTTGCGACTTGCGATTATTTATCGATTATTTAATTCTGTTTCCTTGTATCTGAAAATATAAACTGTACATTTTTAAAGATTGTATTACAATCTGATACTTGAATTTTTTTGACAACTTTAAAGAACGGATGAGATTAACCATTTTGAAAATAATCTTAAAAAGAATCGTGTATAATAAAAATGACCTTTCTGGATTTTTTAATTGTGTAATTTGTATTGAATATTTTGAAAAAAATATAATTTAGCAAACGGATTTTCATACAGAACACGTAATTTTTAATTATATAAACAATTTATCATCTTCGAATGATTGATTTTAGGTTCAAAGTAANCACGGATAATCAGGAGTTTACTGTATAGCATATTTGGGTTTAGTTGTTTATGTACAGTATTAACAGAAATGAAACAGGAAAAGCAATATTTTAATGCTTGAGATGGCAATTTCTAAACTGCATACCATTTTGCTTTCAATGGCCATCCCAGAGGCAAGTATACAGTAGGCTGGTTATTTGAAAGTTTTATTTTCACTGTTGCAGTTTTCTGTTGAGTATATAGCCATTATGAGTTCTGTGCCACTGTAGGTTATCACATGAAATTACGGTAATTAAAATAGAACTGTGTTGTTTGAACTTAAATCTGAAGATAAAGCTAAAATTTTTAGAAATATTAATGTCAGAAAAATTTGGATTTTTACAATTTAAAAAAGTATTCTGTATTTTTTCATTTCATTTTTGTAATTTAGAAGAGTTACAGTGTTAAAATATTATATTATATTACTATTGATTCTAATAGAAAATTTGTGTGTAATAATTTTTATTGTATTAACTGTTTTTATATTTTATAAATAAATTTATAAAATTTTATTTTTAATTAATTGTACTTAATGTTACTATTTTACGTTAACACATCATAGCATTTGAATGTTTTGATTTCGAAAATATTTTTAACTTTAAAATAACAGATAGAATAAATATTAAAAAATGCAGTATCATCACATGTTGTCCTTGCACCACTTTGTGTTTCCAAGCACTTATTCACTATGTGATTGTTGTTTCTGTGGTTTGAGAAAGACAAATTATAAGATATTACATTTTTTAGTGTTTTTTTCTACTTGTTATTTTAAAGTAAAATTATTGTTTTTGTTTTTAGTTTTATATTTTATCTNAATAGAAAATTTGTGTGTAATAATTTTTATTGTATTAACTGTTTTTATATTTTATAAATAAATTTATAAAATTTTATTTTTAATTAATTGTACTTAATGTTACTATTTTACGTTAACACATCATAGCATTTGAATGTTTTGATTTCGAAAATATTTTTAACTTTAAAATAACAGATAGAATAAATATTAAAAAATGCAGTATCATCACATGTTGTCCTTGCACCACTTTGTGTTTCCAAGCACTTATTCACTATGTGATTGTTGTTTCTGTGGTTTGAGAAAGACAAATTATAAGATATTACATTTTTTAGTGTTTTTTTCTACTTGTTATTTTAAAGTAAAATTATTGTTTTGGTTTTTAGTTTTATATTTTATCTTTGTTTATTTCTCTTTGGAGAAAGCAGAATTAGATATAATAAAAATATTTGAAGACTTTAATTTGTTATTAAACATAGTACTAATAGACATTAGAGAAATTTCTATACATGATACTATAAAATAATTTAACCAGGGTTTTTTTTTATTTAATTCTGAATTGGAAAATTTTAAAATTATTAATTATTATATAAAAACTGTAGATTTAAAATATGATGATAAAAGTATTCTAAATATAACTACTACAATGCTGTGATTTCTAACTTTAAATTTTCTAAATTTCA